AAAACAAAAAAAGACTAACAATTCTACACAATGGAGTACTATGTAGCTCTTAGAAAAGATGAAGTCATGAAATTTACATACAAGTGGTACAATATGGAAAGTATCATGCTAAGCGAAATGAGTCAGAAAGAGAGGGATAGACATAGAAAGATTGCATTCATCTGGGGGATATAAAGTAACAAAGTATGAGATTAATACCCAAGAATAGCTGAGATCAGCACCAGGAGGATTACTCCATAACTTAGAGGCCAGCCGGGTATCCTAGAGGAAAGGGCTATTCAGATAGAGAAGGGAGCACCAAATAAAGGATGTTTGGAGGATCCTCCCAGGAGGGGAGATGCATGTCGAAAGTAGACTATGGACTGAACATGTTTGCCACTCAATGCCTCTTTTGCAGACCACAACACCCAAAAGGAGAGAGAGAACACAGGGGATTGCCCTGCCACAGAGACGGGGGGATGGGGGGATGGGGGTGGGAGGGATATTATCCATGGTGGTGGAAAATGGGCACTGGTGGAGGGATGGGTATCTGATCATTGTATAATTGAAACCAAAGCACAAAAAATTGTAAATCTACAACTTTAAAAAAAATAAAATAAAATAAAGGGGAAAAAAAAAAAGAAAAAAAAAAAAAAAAAAAAAAAAGAAAAAGAGATGGACATCTCTTTCTACTATTGCTACGTAATGGGAGTAGCTGGAACGGTAGGTTCCACTTGAGGTACCAGATGGTTTTCCTAGGCAAACACTTACATGCCATACTCATTTTATTTATTCTAATATATTTTTTCAAATTAAAGAGATGCATCATAGTTAATTGGTTGTTAATAAAAGTTATGAATTTAAAAAAAAAAAAAGACTAACAATTAAATATGTGTGTGGGCTAGAGCATAGTACAGCACAAAGGGCATTTACCTAGCACGCAGCTGACCAGAGTTCAATCTCCAGCATCCCATAGAGTCCCTTGGGCTCTGGCAGGAGTGACTCATGAGCACAGAGCTAGCAGTAAGCCCTGAGCACCCACTGGGTGTAACCCAAAAACAGACAAAAAATATTATTCCCTCAGGGGCCTTTTCTGGATCATCTTCATTTTTAACAGTCTGGTAATGAGATCCTCATCACTGGAGGTACTCAAGTACCTGAGGAAATGAAAGCAATATAGGACAAATGGCCTCCAAGGACTGCTGTCAGCCTTAAAATGGCAAGGCGTTTTTAGTTTTTAGTCTGTCCTGGTGGTCCCGGGGGTAACTCTCATCTGGGGGTCATTCCCAGGCGATGTTCAGTGGATTATGTAGTGCTGGGGATCAAAGCCAGGCAGCTCAGCCCCTTAACTCATCTCCCTGGCCATGCAAAGTTCTGTTTTTCAAACCTGAAAAGAGCTGTTCCTGAGTGTAAACTTCCTTTTTGTTTTGTTTTGGTTTTGGTTTTGGGGTCATACTGGCAGTGCTCAGGACTTACTCCTGGCTCTGCAACTCAGGGATCACTCCTGGTAAGTTCAGGCTTGGGCTTGGGAGTTCCTATGGAATGCAGAAGATCTAACCTAGTTAGCCACCTGCAAGGCTAGTTTCCTATCCACTGTACTATCTCACTGGCCCTGAACTTCCCTTTTCTGAAATACACAAGCTAGAGTATCCTTGTCCTCAAACTCTTCAATAGCACCATCCTTGGGGGCTGGAGCAATAGCACAGCGGGTAGGGCGTTTGCCTTGCACGCAGCCAACATGACCGACACAGGTTCAATTCCCAGCACCCCATATGGTCCCCTGAGCACCGCCAGGGGCAATTCCTGAGTGCATGAGCCAGGAGTAACCCCTGAGCATCGCTGGGTGTGACCCAAAAAGCAAAAAAAAAAAAAATAGCACCATCCTTTCCCCTCAGGGAAAATCTTATCACCTCTGGAATGTGGTGGTAGTGGGGCTCTACAGGAAGCTGATAGGCTGATTGACAATCAATAAAGACAACCTAAAGTGTGGAAAATCCAGAGTTGCTTCTCCTGAAACAGAAAAGGGTTTCAGTGCAGACCACAGACGCCAGATCTAACGGCCTTAGGAAAGAGTCAGGACTGGTCTGACTCTATCTGGGACAAAACTCCCAAGAGGAGCAACAGAAAAGACTAGTGATTGGAAACACAATCCGATGCAATCTTGGGACCAAGCAGGCCCTGACACACACCTAAGTCGTGTAACAGGTCAAGTCACAGAGTGTCCCCCAAGATCAGTGCTCCTGGTGAACATGCTGTGTAGAATCGTTGTGTTTTGATTAGATATCAATCCCAAAATCAGTCTAATAATCCATTTACTTTTTATTTGTTTTAGACCACATCTGGAGGTGCTTAGGGCTTATTCCAAGCTCTGCACTCTCCTGGTAGTGCTTCAGGACTGTATGGATGCTGGGGATCAAACCTAGGTTGACCACACGCAAAGCAAATGCCCTTCTTGCTATACTATTGCTCCAGCCCTCCAGTTACTTTTGTTTTGTTTTGTTTTTTAGGTCACATCCGGCGATGCACAGGGTCTACTCCTGGCTCATGCACTCGGAATTACTCCTGGTGGTGCTCGGAGGACCATATGGAGTGGTGGGAATTGAACCTGGGTCAGCCGCATGCAAGACAAATGCCCTACCCACTATGCTATAGCTCCAGCCTCACTCCATTTATTTTTTTTCCATTTACTTTTATTTATTTTTTTCCGTTTACTTTTTTTTTCTTTTTTCTTTTTGGGTCACACCCAGCGATGCTCAGGGGTTACTCCTGGCTTTGTACTCAGAAATTACTCCTGGAGTTGCTCAGGGGACCACATGGGGTGCTGGGAATCGAACCTGGGTCGGCCATGTGCAAGGCAAATGCCCTACCCGCTGTGCTATCACTCCAGCCCCTCCATTTACTTTTAATTAATCAAAAGATTACTCTGGATGTGCCTGACTTTAATTAGATGGGTCTTTAAAAGAGGATAATGGGGTCTGGAAAGATAGTACAGCGGGTAGGGTGCTTGCCTTGCATGCGGATTACCCAGGGTCAATTCCCAGCATTCCACATGGTTCCCCCCATACCCCACCAGGAGTGGTCCCTGATTGCAGAGCCAGGAGTAAGCCCTGAGCACTACCAGGTGTGTCTCCCCCATGCCTTCAACCTCCACAAGAAAAATATATATATAAAGACCAAAGAGATGTATAGGGATTAAAATACCAGCTTTGCATGCAGATGACCTGGTTCAATCAATTCCCCCAGAGTGATCCCCGAGTACAGATCGGGGGTAGGCCCTGAGCACTTGAGTGCAGTCAGAAATAAGCCCTGAGGACCATCAGGTATAACGCCTTCCCCAAAAAAGTTGTGGTTATTGTGAGAAGGCCTTTAGAGGGGGTCGTGTGGCAAGGCCTTGCCATAGTCTTTAGGATCTGAGAGTGGTCCCTAATAGCACACAAGAAAAGAAGGGGACTTAGTCCTGCAACTATAGGGAACTGGATTCAGCCAACAAGCAGAACAAACTTAGAAGGAAATCTGAGCTCCAGATGAGACCGAGCCCAAATCCCATCTGACATCTTCTTCTTATTGTTCATTTTACTATACTCAGCAGTGCCAGGGTTCAGGACCACTTCTGGAGCTCAGGGAATGCCGTGGTTCCAGGGATCAAAGCCATGGTTCTCGCCTGAAAAACATCCTCTCCACTGGCTGACATCCTGCTTTCAGTCTTATGAAGACCCAGAGGAAAGAATCAGTTATGCCACATTTGGAGTTCTGTTTTGATGAATGGTAATTGCATTCAAGGAGGTCAAAGTTTTCTCAGATGTTGGGGCTGGAGCAGTAGTATAGCAGGTAAGGCATTATCTTGTACATGGCCAACCAGGGTTCAATCCCTGGGATCCCCTAGATTCCCTGAGCCAGGAGTAAGCCCTGAGTGCAGACTCAGGAGTAACCTCTGAGCCTCACGGTGTGTGACCCAAAAAAGAAAAAAAAAGTCTTCTCAGATGTCCTTTAGTATAACTGGTGGGGATGAAGCAGGTGCTCTTAAAAGAAAGGCACTTTTTTTTTCTTCTTCTTTTCTTTTTTAATTTTTATTAGTGAAACACTATGAGGTACAGTTGTAGACTTAGAAATTTTGGTGCCTGGGTTTCAGTTATACAATGATCGAGTACCCATCCCTCCACCAGTGCCCATTCTCCACCACCACTGATCCCAGTATCCCCCCCACCCTCCATTCCCCCATCCCACCCTGCCTCTGTGGCAGGACATTCCCCCTTGTTCTCTCTCTCCTTTTGGGTGCTATGGTGTGCAAAAGAGGCATTGAGTGGCAATCATGTTCGGTCTAGAGTCTACTTTCAGCATGTATCTCCCATCCTGGGAGGATCCTCCCAACACCCTTTATTTGGTGCTCCCTTTTCTATCTGAGCTGCCTAAAAGAAAAGCACTTTTATCCTTACTCCTGGCCAGGTTAATGATGGAGGGGGAGGGGCTTGCCTTTGACCTCCTCATAGGGAAGAATTCAAAAGCAAGTAGGAGAGACAGAGAAAGTGGATTATGAAAGCAAGATCAGAGTATGCGGCTGAGGACCAGAGTGCAGGCACAACCCAGAGAGACCTGTTTCTAAAGAAACACAGTTAACTCGGCGTGTCCAGCTCCAGAGACGGTCTAAGCACATGCTATGCTGGAGGTCTGGTTTCACCCCTGGCACCGCACAGTCTGAGCAGAACGCGGGGAGCAACCTCGGGACACACACAGCCAGGAAAGCCCCGCAGTGCCACCAGCTCGGGCTCCAAACCCCCCACCCTAGCCCACCCACAGAACAGCACAGGCACGAACCTCTCCCCGTGCACGGTTCACCTGCACCCTCCTCGCTTCCCCCCTTGAAGGCCGGGCCTCCGCGGAGGGCGCGCGGAGCGCGGCGGCGGCGCGGCGTGTCCCCAGCGCGCCGCCGTACCCGCAGCCCCGCCCCGCCCCCGCCCGGGAGGCGCGCGCCGCAGGGGGCGTGTCCTCGCGCCCCGCCCGCCGTGCGTCCGTGCGTGAGTCCGGCCCCCGCGCGCGCTCCGCAGCGGCCCGCGAGCTCCCGCCGGCTCCTCTCCAGCCTGTGGCCTGCGCGCCGCCATCGCCGTCATGCTGGGCGCCTCTCTCCGCCGCTGCGCGGTCGCCGCCGCCGCCGCCGCCGCCCGGGCGGGCCCCCGCCGCCGGCTGCCCCCCGCCCCGGGCCCCGGCGCCGCCGCCGGTGAGTCCCCGGCGCGCGCCCGCGCCCGGCCCGCGTGTCCTTGCGGTGACCTGGGCGCCCGGCGCCGCGCGAGGCCGGGCTGCCCCCGCGGCCTAGACCCTGCCCCGCGCCGGCCGCCTCGCCCCGGCCCGGGCCTGCCGCCGCCTCCCGCCGCCGGGCCCCGCGGGCAGGGGGCGCCGCGCCGCCCCGCCGGACCCCGCGGGCCCCCCGCGCCCAGCCCCGGGCCCGCCCGGCCGGCAGTGGCCGTCCCCCGGCCTGCGGCGCGCCCGCCAAGGTGACATTGAGCCGCGCGCGCGAGCCCCGGCCGTTGGGGTCGGCACCCGGCGCCCGGGACGGCGGCTGCTGCCGGGTGCCAGGAGCCTGGCACGGGGCCGGGCGCGTCTCGTGTCGCCCGCCCGGGCCGCGCTGTCGCTTTGGCTCCGTCCTCCGGCCCCCGGGCGTTCGGCTGGACGTGGCCGGCTGCAAGGCTAGGAGCAGGACGGGGCGCGAGCCCGCACCCAGATGGCGCGGGGTCTGGAGCGAGGGAGGGCAAGGCTGGCAGAGGGGGCGAGCCCGCACCCAGATGGCGTGGGGTCTGGAGCGAGGGCAAGGGTGGCAGAGTGGGCGAGCCCGCACCCAGATGGCGCGGGGTCTGGAATGAGGGCAAGGGTGGCAGAGTGGGCGAGCCCGCACCCAGTTGGCGCGGGGTCTGGAGCGAGGGAGGGCAAGGCTGGCAGAGGGGGGCAGGTCCGCACCCCCGGAGCGCGGGGTCAGGAACGAGGGCAATTGCCTAGGGCTGGAAATTCCACTGGAGAGGTGAGAGGTGAGCGGTCGGGGCGGCAGGTGGCTGGTTCTTGGCGTGCAAAGGGCCGCAGGTCTGGTCCCCGCATCGCTGGGTGGCCCTGGCGGAACAGAAGCCTGTTTGCCAGTCTGGGGGTGTTCCTGAGAACATCTCGACCCCAGAGCAGTGTTCTAAACGGAGGGGCCGACCTCAGGCGGATCTTGTGGCTGGGCAGTGCCCCTTAGAGTGAATTTGGAGGTTCCACACCCCAGGCGCAGGGAGCACTCATCACCCCCTTTCTGGGCTGCTCCGGTGTGGGGGGCCGGGGAGGTGTTGCTAATTTTATTCCCGTCTTATTTTACCTTGCCCTTTTGTGTCTTCGGAGAGAGGGTTCATCGCTGTGCTGTTCAAGCCTGTGTGTGGCTGCAGTTTGGCCCTAGACCCAGCTCCTAAACGTGCATCCTTTGGCCTTGGAGCTGCACCCAGTGTTGCTCAGGGATCACCCCTCCTGGTGGGGCTGGAGCAGACCACATGCCTCCCTTCTGCTCCGTGGTGGGCACCTGCTGCCCTCTCTCCAGCTCTGAGCATGCTTCCTTAAAGACAGCTCAGCGACTCTGTACTGTTCTCATGGTTTTTTAGATTACTTTGAGGGTTTCAATTAGACTCCACCTAAGGAATGTTCGATTGAGATGGTACCTTCTAGCATAGACCCGTACGGTTGGCATACACAGCACTGCCCAGGATGGTCATCTTATTTGATAGGAGAGGAAACTGACGCATTTATTGGTGGTGGAACCTTTTCCCGTTTCTTCTTGGTATGGGTTTTTATTTTTGGTCTGTTCTGATGTTTGTCAGACTTTATGCGCCTTCTTTTTTTAATTCTTCAAAAGGCCAAATAGTTACTTTGATTTTTTGCATACACGTTTTGGGAAGCTTCTTAGAACCTGGGTAAACACTTGGGAGGTGTTCAGCAAATGGTAGATGAAGGGAGCTCTTGGTTCGGTTGCACAGAGTGGCATACCAATGGCTATTTCTAAGGTATAATTTATAACCCAAAATCTTTCCCTGAGGTATTAGTCCCAAAGATCTAAAGAATTGCCACAAGGAGGCAGCCTTCCCGCTGGGTCAGCTACTTTCTGTCTGTGTGACCTTGGACATGCTATTTAACCTTTAAACAGTTGCCTACTCAGAGATCAGGAATTGTGAGGTTTGAATGGGTTGTTATAACCTTTAGCACCTTGCCTGGCTAAATGTTTCATATACTGTTGCTCTATTTAGTTTTTGCATATTCTAGTTTTGGATTTGTAACCTTCTTTTTAGGCAGACCATACCCAGCGGTGCTCAGGGTTTACCCCTGGCCCCATGCACAGGGTTCACTCCTGGTGAGGCTCAGGGCACATATGTGGTGTCAGGGATTGAGCCTCAAGCCAGGATTGAGGCAAGCCCCTCACCAGCCCACTGTGAGCCAACAGGTTTTATCCGAAGGATTAATGTTTGTAGACGAAGTTATCCAGGGTCAAATGACTCCGTCAATGCTTGAAGGAGCTCCTGAAGGTTAATCTAGGAGACTTCAACTTCGATAAATTTCATCTAGTTAACTAGCAACCCAAATTCTGTATTTTGTCCATTAAAAAACCTTGAACTCAAAACGGTTTTCCAGCAACTGTTGAATTAGGTAATCAAGTAATTTTAAATAATAGTTAAGTTCTCTAGGCGACCTACAGAGTTCTGACTCATACCTCCTTATCCGAAGAGGAAGAGGTGTTTCCTCTTCCCTTTTCTCGGTCCTGCATTGAATTTAGCTTTTTGTTTTATTTTAGTTTCGGTTTTGGCATACCAGCTATCCTCAGGACTTACTCCTGGCTCTGCACTCAGGCATCACTCCTGGTGGTACTTGGGGCACCATATGGTCCTACCACCTGGGGTGCTAGGGATCAAACCCAGGGGGCCACATACAAGGCACCTGTCCTGTTGCTCCCAGCCCTGCATTTTCAAATCACTTTCCAACTTTCTTTGCTGCCCCTCCCGCATTTCTGGATTTCCAGCCTTTGGATTACAGTGTTCACAGCTGCTTTTAGGCCTGGATCCTTGCTAACTCTGCCTCTAGCTTTTCTTGTGCCCACTATTACTCATTCTCCCTTGCTCTTAGAATTACTACCATCAAAATGCTCATTCTTTGAGCTGGTTAATTCCAAGCTGAATAGTTGATAAGTAGAAAGCTTTCTGGTTTAGCCAAATTTAAACCAGAGAATTAATGAACCCTTGAAATTTTCTAAATATATTCACTTTTGATTTTAGCATCATGCTTAATAAACTAAATGCCAGAAAGCAACATTAGAAGTAACTTTTTAAACTGAGTCTCTAGAAATAACTCTGATTTTTCTTTTCTTTCTTTTTGTTGTTTTGGGTGACAGGCATCCAGGCTTACTCGTGATTCTGTGCCCGGGGATAACTCCTGGCCTTGTGTAAGGCAAGTGCCCTACCGCTGTACTATCGCTCTGGCCTTGCTATTCTAAATATTTATTCCAGAAAAGATTTTTTGGGAGACAACCAGTTTGTAATGGAGACGCCCAGAAGGAAGTTGACAGATTTGTTGATCTCCTTGATTTGAACTTGCTGTTGCATAACATCTTCACAATTAGAAAATAGGACAGGGGCCGGAACAACAGCGGGTAGAACGTTTGCCTTGCACGTGGCCGACCCAGGTTCGATTCCCAGCATTGCATATAGTCCCCTGAGCACCACCAGGGTGCTGAGCACCATCAATTCCTGAGTGCAGAACCAGGAGGTAACCCGTGTGCATTGCTGGGTGTGACCAAAAAAGCAAAAAGTGAAAAAAAAAGAACGAAAGAAAGAAAATAGGACAGAGCTACTAGTTACGTAGGCAGATACAGCACTGAGCTAATGGTTGTCAGGAAACCAACCTATTCCGGTTGTAGGCAAGGTCAACTTAGTAGACACCTCTGGGGTATAGATTGAGAAATTCAGTACTTAGGGAGTGAATTACTGAGTAGTATTGCAGATCTTTTTAAATTAATAAACTGCAAGAACAGTTTTCCAAAGTGATTGTATCATTTGATGCCTGCATTGTAAGTATCAAATAAAAATAATTTTAGTTTTTGAGAAAAAAAATGTATCTTACAGGGCTGAGGAGGTGGCGTAGTGGGTGGAGCACATCTTTACATAGGGGAACTTCCTGGTAGATCCCCAGCACCTCATGGCTGCCCACGCACTGCAGAAGTGTGAGGGTTACAGTAGATCATGCTTTCTGATATATTTAACGTAAATATTAGTCCCGCAAGATTTACAGTTTGGATTAAATATTTACACTTACCAAATACATTCAGGTCAGGGGCTGGAGTGACAGTACAGCCAACCTGGGTTCAGTCTCTGGCATCCCATATGGTCCCCCTGAGCATTGCTGGTGTGACCCCAAAACAAACAAATAAATTCAGGTCTAGAGATTATTTTGCTTCTTGTCAAAGAAATTTCTAATGGTATTTCTAATTCCAGCTCATTTAAATATATACTTTCTCTACATTTCTGGGTAAGTCTTTTTTTTTTTTTCTGATAAAACTGTTCATTCCCGCTAGAACTGCCTATCTTTAATCTTTTTGCTTTTAGTTTTTTTAGTTTTTCCTCTCAGAAACGGCATTAAGAATATATAGGATATTTCTAATATTTTGAATTTTAGAGTATTTTAGAAATAGCTGCCAATGATACTAATAGATCTTCCCCCCAACACACACCTTTTTTGGGGGGGATGGTCACTCCTGGCTTTGCACTCTGGGATCACCTCTGCAGGGGCTTGGGGACTAGATCAGCTACCGGGGTTGAACTTAGTTCAGCTGCTTGCAAAGGCAAGTGCTCTTCCCCCTCTGTGAGTCTGGCCCCGCAAATAACATTTTATTGAAAAACATTTAGAGAGATGTGAGAGGGGAGAGACAGAAAGATGAAAGACACGTTCAGGAGAGAATATGGCCTTCTCTAGGTAGAGGCTCTGTGCTCGGGAATTACTCCTGGTGGTGCTCGGGGAACCAAATGGGATCCCAGGAATCGAACCCGGTTCTGCTGTGTGCAAGGCAAACACCCTACCCGCTGTGCTATCGCTCCAGCCCCCAGATAGATCTTTTTAATATAACTTGTTAATAATAAACAGAAATTGTGGCTGGAGAGATAAAACAGTAGTTAAGGCACTTACTTCCCTCAGTTCAAACCTTGGCACTGCATATGGTCCCTCGATTAGTGCCAGCAGTGATCCCTGAGCACTGCCAGGTGTGATCCTGAGACAGACAAAACGGAAACTATATTAAGCTTGTCTGATTTAATACAACAGGAAAGGGTAGTGTTCGTGGGATATGGTTCCGAGGACGGAAACCAGGAACTTGTAAAAGCCACTTGGAGCATATTTCCAGCCCTGAGGGGACTTAGTTTGGTAAGATTTACCAGGATGTGTAATTTAGTTTGGGATATAATCTAGGCACAAGTTTTAGGAAGTTATCATCAAGGAAATATGTGCTGAGGCTGGAGCCATAATACTGTGGGAAAGGTCGGTGCATCTCTTGCATGAGGCGGACTTGGATTCTATCCCCAGGATCCTATATAACCCCCCGCAAGCCTTGCCAGAATTGACCCTGAGCATAGAAGCAGGAATAAATTCTGAGTACCATTAGGTATGCGCCCACCCCACCCCATCCCTCACACACACACGTACGATGCTCTGAGGCTACTCCCAGCTTGGCTGCTGTTTCTGGGATTCTTCAGGGAAACACATACAGCACAAGGGTCAAACCCGGTCCTCTTGCGTGCAGAGCAAGCATTTGTTCCGTTGAGCTTTCTCTGACCCCCGTTCTAGTGTTTCGTTTTGTATTGTTTGGTGGGAGTAGGGGGCACACTCATCGATACTACAGGGATTACTCCTGACTCTACTCCCTGGAATCAGTTTGAACCCAGGTCAGCTGCATGCAAGGCAAACGCCCTACCTACTGTCTTATCACTCTGGCTCCTGTTGGGTTTTATTTTATTTGGGAGTGGGGAGGGCCATTCCTGGCAGTCCTCAGGGCGCCAAGAAGTGTGGGGATTGAACCCGAGCTCTTGCCAGTAAGCTGCACTTCAGCCTTTTGGGCCATCTCTCCAGATACTGGAATTCTTTGGGGTTTTTTCGTTTGTTTTGTTTTGTTTGTTTTCCCTGAGCATGTGGAAGTTTCGGGGTTCAGAAGGGAAGGGCCAGCTCCCCACCCCACCCCCCAACACAGGGAAAACACCTTTCCACTATTTCTGTCCCTTCGCTAACAGGGGTTAAGACTGGATGTGACCCAAAATCCCCCACTCATGAAAAAACGACACTTTCCTCCTGAATATAACTGTTGCTCACAATTTCACACATTGTGAGAAAAGGGTGAACATGCGTAGATCATTCCTTTTGTTCTGCTTGATCTTGGTTTAGTCGAGGCCTTCCTCGGCAGTTCTGGGGTGTGGGCTCAGGCCACTGCTGGGGATGCATTGCCCGTTTTGAGCCTGAAGGTGAAAGTTCAAAGCTTGGACTCTGTAGCTTGTACAGGTGGCACCTAGGCTTGACCATGCTTGGCTCCAATGAGTTCTCTCTGGGCTCCTCTGTTTTGGTTTTTTTGTTTTAAGGCCCTACCTCTTGGTGCTCTGTGGACCTTGCATTGGCAGGGATTAAGTCTGAGTCTTTTACATTCACTCTAGCTTATTAAGCTATCTCCCCTGTTTTCTTTGCGGAAGTTCTAGGATTCCACCCAAGGCCTCACCCAGGCAAGACCGGTGCTTTGTCCTGAGCTGGATCCTAAGTTCCTCTACTGCTTCTTTCATTGTGGTTGTCCTCAGGGACTACTCTCAGCTCAGTGTCCGGACTGTGTAGTGCTGGCGACAGGGCTCCTGCATGCACAGTATTTTTTCCAGCCCATTAAGCTATTTATCTGTAACTGTATGTGTGTGGGGGTGGTTCTGCAGGGGTCCAACCTAGGCCCTTGCACATTCAGGGGAAGTGCTCTACCACTAAGCTGTACACTCCTCTACCCCTGGCCTTTCCTTGATTGATTTTTGATTTTGTTTCTGTTCCTGATCTCTGCGCCACACTCAGCAGTGCTCAGGGGCTACTTCCAATATGGTGCTGGACTCTCACATGCAAAGCATATGTTCTGTTCCTTCGTGCTATGGTCCCCTTTGCTTGATTTATTATTTTTTAAACACCTGGTGATGCTCAGGGGTTACTCAGGAATTACTCCTGGTGGTGCTCAGGGGACCATATGGGATGCCGAGGATCAAACCCAGGTCTGGCGCATGCAAGGCAAACATCCCACCTGCTGTTTTATTGCTCCGGCCCCAGCCCTTTTGCTTTACTTTATTTTTAAGTTCATTTTACTTCTCAGTACAGAAGATTTGTTTCATCTGCTGAAGAATTTCCCTGCTGTTATATACATAGTTGATTCCAAACTTAATGCTTATGTATTTGTGTGTATTTGCATTTAATGTGTGCGTATTTCTGCACAAGAAATGAAAGCGAAACAAACCCTACTGCACTTTCAGTAAGTGAGTAGAATTCCCGTGCATTGAGGTTATTGCTCTTTCTCCATTGCAGCTACCCAGTCAGCACGCTGCTACTCCCACGGATCACATGAGACGGATGAGGAGTTTGATGCGCGCTGGGTGACGTACTTTAATAAGCCTGATATTGATGCCTGGGAACTGCGCAAAGGTAACTGTCCTATTTTGACACAGAAATAGGAACTGTTCTGTAGACCTGCATTATGTAAGCTGAGGACTAAGCAGCAGCTTTCGGTTGGGGATGTCGGTCAGTTCCGTGGTATCTCCTCTGTGGCAGGGTTTGGCAGCGAGTCGAGTCAGCGGCGTGGGCCAGATAGTGCTTGGTGGCCAGGGCCGCTCTGGTACGGTGTATAGGTGCCCATGACCTCTGCTCGCCAGGTGCTAAAATTCTGCACTCCCCGTCTCCATTTCTCACAGTCGCATATGTTTCCTGAGGAGACAGAATTGCTCCTCCAAGAACCACTGCTAAGCCATCAGGGTCCAGGATGGTTGATGGGTTTGTACCTTCAGATAAGTAATGCAGATAGTTCTTGGTTCTCCAACCCTCTTGGTTGTAGTTTCGGTTTTTTGTCATTTTTATTGTGATGATTTATCTTGCCCTCATTAAGTATCAACTGTAAGTAAAATAGAACTTGTTTATTCCTAATTTGTACAGAGGCATTAAACCTGAGTTGATACATTCATGACAGCTAGTTTAATACTATTTGTAGATGAATAATTTTAATTGTAGAGCAGTTTATTTCAGACTAAAAAGTTCAGTCTTTCTTAATATCTTAGCATTGTAATCACTGGTACGCTTTGTTTAAATATTTTAAATAAAAGCAAGAAACATTAAGTACTTCAAATTTCTTTGCGTGAATAAAATGAGTACATTTTACTGCAATCAGGGAAACTCATTGAATAGTCTTAAATAAAGGTAATGAAAAGAATGGAAATTTTGCGCTTTTTTTTGAGGGCATGGTAAATTTTATGGTGTGTCATTTTGTATAGAGCGAAAAGTAATCATACCTAATTATTTTCTGGTTGAATGTTAATGAGTCTGTGTGCTAATGTTTTTCTGTAATAGCTATTTAATGGCCTCATTTGGGCCTCATTGACTCTCTCCTTAAGCATTTCTCTGATTGTTTTAGATTATTTTCCAATCAAAACTATTTAAAATAGCTAAAATATATGGGTTATCATAAGAGTTAAAAGATGTTAGTTGAGGGGCTAGAGCGATAGCACAGCATGCTGGTAGGGCATTTGCCTTGCACGCGGCCAATCCGGGTTCGATTCCCAGCATCCCATTTGGTTTCCCGAGCACTGCCAGGAGTGATTCCTGAGTGCAGAGCCAGGAGTAACCCCTGAGCATCGCCGGGTGTGACCCAAAAAGAAAAAAAAAAGATGTTAGCTAAAGACCCCCTTATGGAAAAGAGGTCAGTTAGCTATTATGAAAATGGTGTGTTTTCATTTAAGAAAGCTCTTGTTTGATTCCCATCAATCTGCATGCTACTGCACAGTTTTTTCCCCTCTCGGAGAGCCCGGCAAACTACCGAGAGTATCTCGCCCGCACGGCAGAGCCTGGCAAGCTCCCTGTGACGTATTCGATATGCCAAACACAGTAACAACAAGGTCTCCAATGGAGACGTTACTGGGCCCGCTCGAGCAAATTGATGAACAACGGGAGGACAGTGACAGTGGCCAATTCATTACGGAAGATTCACTGTGATCTTACCCTCCAGAACATGTTAACGGTAGAATCTTTAATAAATAAGAACATAGAGGGCCAAACAAGTAAATCACATGCATGTGGTTCAACAAAAATGTAAATAACTAGGATGTAAGGATATTTATGTGGTCCCTCTTTTTAATTTGGCAGGAATGAACACACTTGTTGGCTACGATCTGGTTCCAGAACCCAAAATCATTGATGCGGCTTTGCGGGCATGCCGACGGTTAAATGACTTTGCTAGTGCAGTTCGCATCCTAGAGGTTGTTAAGGTCAGTAAAATGACATTGCTAAAGTCGTCCTGGAAGTCAGTAAGCTGTTGGTTATGTATTAGCATATTCTGTGGTTTTCAGGTAATAATCTGAAAGCATACTTTCTTGTGGTTAGAGGCAGTACACATTGCCATTAGGTTTTCTCTCCACCCCACCCCCTATCTTTTTCCTCTCTTTAATTTCGGCCGCACTTGGCAATGTTCAGGAATCATTCCTGGCTCTGGTTAAGGATCACTTCTGGCAGTGCTCAGGACGATGTTTGGTGCCAGGGGTTTGAACTAGGATCCACCCAGTGCCAGGCAAGCACCTTAACCCATGTACTATTTCTCTGGTCCCCTGCAGCTCGTCTTGCAGGGCAATTTGCCTGCACTTATCCAAGGCCATAAATGTTGAGGGACCAGGGAAATAACTCAGGAGGCTGGAGCACATGCCTTCCGTTCAGGTCCCAGGGTTCAGTCCCCAGTACCAGTTGGGACCAAGCACTGGCTGGGGCACCGAGCTGGGAGTGGCCTGGGAACAGGGCTGGATATGGCCCCAAAACTAAAGTGTTGGCGGCTGGGGATATACTTCAGCAGTGAAGTGCTTTCCTTACATGTGTGAAGGTCTAAGTTTGGTGTCTGGCGTTACCCAAAAAAAAGAAAAAACATTTGATACCATTTTGTTCATTTCTATTTGAGAATTCATCTTAAGGAAATAAAGAAGTGTGTCCAGGCCAGGGATGTACTAGCAAGGCCTTGGGCTCCGTTACACACACAGGCTAGAGTGCATGTCTAGGCTCTGGAAATGTCCTCACTATCGACACATTTTTGAAAGGAAAAGAAAAGGCTGTATATAGAAAGGTCGAACTACAATTTCTCTTTGTGTTAGGAAATTCGGTGTTGCTAGTGGTGCCATTATGGCCTGTAAAGGAAGAAACTCAATGTCTGTGAGGGGAAAGTGTGACATTGCTTATCTAATATAAGTAATATAATTAAGGGTTCTGTAGGCTATCAATCCATTCAGCACCAGCAGTTAATTCACTTAGGGTCTCAAATTGGAGGCAAATTAAAAACTTTTCCTGTGTTAACTTAATTACTCCTGTTGCCTTCTGGGCATGTTTAATTATCTTCACAAAATTCTGTCATTACCATCTTTCCCAGTAACTCAAGGCTGTTCCCCCCACCCCCTTCGTTTAGTCCAACTTACATGGTCTCGGGTGTTTTTATTTATTTTTTGGGAGGAGTTGGTCTGGGGCCACAGCCAGTGATGTTCTGAGGCTGTGCCTGATCTGTGCTCAGTGGTCATTCCTGGCAGTACCCAGGATTGAATGCATGGGCAGGCAAGCACCTTAGCCCCCATGCTCTCCCTCTGACTCTCCGGGTATTTTGAATTGGTAGGTAGCTCTTTATGGACAGTTAACTTGCAAACTAGTGATTTGTATTCTGTGCTATTAGCCCGCCCTGCATGTGTAAGTAGAAGAATTTTCACGCTTGTTTTGTTAGTATAGATATCTTCACAGAGAGCTAAATGTGAATATTTTCTTTGCCATCAGGACAAAGCAGGACCTCACAAGGAAATCTACCCCTATGTCATCCAGGAACTTAGACCAACTTTAAATGAACTGGGAATCTCCACTCCAGAGGAACTGGGCCTTGACAAAGTATAAACCCTATGGTAAGCAATATGCCCCTAAAGAAGGCAGGAGATTCAGGAGGGAAGGAGGGAGAGCCACTTCAGGTTTTAAGCGAAGTGAGATCTTTTTGTGGGGGGGGTGATGTTTGTGGGACTCTAGGGGGCCAGTTCAAATTCATCTCCTGGCCCCTTGATTTTTGTTTTTATTTGTTTTGGGAGGCGACAGCCATTGATGCTCAGGGCTAACTCCTGGCCCTGTGGTCAGGGACCACTCCTGGTGGCTCAGGGAAACATACGTGGTTGCTGGGGATTGAACCCTGCATCTGATTGAACCCTGCCCTACACGTGTAAGGCAAGCTCCTTACCAATGTACTATCTCTCGGGCACCCAGTTATTGCTTTTAATTAAAATCTTCATTGAGCTGGAGAGAGTTAAGGTACTTCCCTTTGTGCGAGACATCCTGGTTAGATTCTTGCCACCATGTGGTCTCTGGTCACTGGGAGCCACCAGATGTGGCATACCTTCCCCTAGCTGCTGTTCCTGTTCCTCTTCCTTCCTTCCCCCCCTCCCCCACACACACAAGAGCATGGAATCTGGCCATTCAGGGAGGGCGAGTTATGGGATGTTCATGGATTCCTAGATCTATGGACATGGGGCTAGGGGAATGACTCAGAGGGCTAGAGTGCAAGCTCCCAGGTAGGAGCTCTGGGTTTCACAGCCAGTACCTCATGGTCCCTGTGCAGTGTGGCCCAAAAACCAAATATATGTCTATTTCCTTAAATAATTTTCAGGGCCTGAGTGATGGGTGATAATTATAGTGGGTAGGGCGCTTGCCTTGCAAGCAGTTGGCCCGGGTTCAATCCCACCACTACATAATGGTACCCCAAGCCCTCCAGGAATGACCCCTGAGTGCAGAGCCAGGAGTAATCCCTGAGCTCAGCTGGATGTCTCAAAAAAACAAAACAAAACAGTGAACAAAAATTTAAAATATTCAGGGGCCAGAGAAATAGCAGGTAAGGTGCTTGCTTTACATGTCGCTGACCTGAGTTCGATCCCCAGTATCCTATGTGGTTCCCCGGGCACTGCCAGGAGTGGTTGCTGAGTGCAGAGCCAGGAGTGACCCCTGAGCATTACAGGGTGTCGCCTCGAAACAAACAAAAAACTGTTCAAAGCCTCCTTAATTAAAAATTTAAATAACACAGTTTAGGCATTTAAGCATTAATACCATAGAATTCCTCCGCCCCTCTCAGAGAGCCCGGCAAGCTACCGAGAGTATCTCGCCCACACGACAAAGCCTGCCAAGCTACCCATGACGTATTCAATATGCCAAACACAGTAACGATGTCTCAAAATGGAGACGTTACTGGGTCTGCTCGGGCAAATCAATGAACAGCGGGAGGACAGGGACAGTGACAGTGACCATAGAACATAAATGTAATTATACCCATATTGAAAGTGAGTCACTGGATCAACCAAGTATTCACCATTAGTGCTTTCAGATGTCTGTTCATTATTTCACTACAAGGTTTTATTCAAACCTTGATTGACACCCTATTCCCTGTGGATAGACAAACTGCATAATAAAATCAGTCACAAAATAACCTAGATCTGTACAGGCTACAAAAAAGGCCTTTGTAAAACAACACATGAGTAATGACGTTTTTATTTTAACAGTATGGTGAAGGTATAACTGTGTTAGGCATGGTTTTACCTGCTCTGTAATTATTAAGTCATTTCACCCTTCTAAGTAATCCTGTGAAATACCTACAAGTTATGGGGCTGGAGCGATAGCACAGCGGGTAGGGCATTTGCCTTGCATGCAGCCGACCCAGGTTCGAATCCCAGCATCCCACATGGTCCCCTGAGCAGTGCCAGGAGTCATTCCTGAGTACAGAGCCAGGAGTAACCCCTGAGCATCGCCGGATGTGACCCAAAAAGCAAAAAAAAAAAAAAACCAAAAAAAACCCTATAGTTATGATGCCCATTTAAATTTGTTTCTTAAGAGTATACTTGATTCAAGAAGAGTGGCAAGAGGAAGCTCTAGTTGAGGCCATAGAGATAGGACAGCAGGAAGCACGATTACCTTGCCTGAGGCCAACCCAGGTTCAATCCTGGTATCCCATGGTCCCCCAAGCCCTCCAGGAGTGATTCCTGAGTGCAGAGACAGGGGTAACCACTGAGCATTGCCAAGTATGTGATCCCAAAATAACAACAAAACGTCAGCTTTCGCATTTGGAAAAGACAACTGCAGGAAGTGCCAGGGGTACAAATAATGAAAAATCTGGAGTCTATATAAATTCAGGACCCAGTAAAAGCAGAAAAGGCTCTGCCGAGGCAGTGTTTTTTCCTTGGGCTGTAGCTCTGAAGTAGCATTTCAGGGATGTGGAAGGCACGTGCATTTGGGTTCAGGGACTGTCCAGGCTCTGCTCAGGAGTGACCCCTGGCGGTGCAAGAGATGAGCCAGTGTCGACCGCATGCAGGGCAAGCGCCTTAACACCCTGTGGTAGCTCTCCAGGGTCTGAAAGCAGCTTTTTATTTCTATTTATTTTTAATTATATTTTTGGGGGGCTCTTTGGGACACACCTGCCGATGCTCAGGGGTTACTCCTGGCCTATGCACTTAGGAATTACTCCTGGCGATGCTCGGGGAACCATATGGGATGCTGGGAATTGAACCGGGTCAGCCGTGTGCAAGGCAGACGCCCTCCCCGCTGTGCTATCACTCCAGCCCCGGCTTTTCTTTTTTTTTTTAAGATGGTTTCTACCTTTTCTTTCCTGGCTAATTTGTTTTCTCTTACAGATGGGCTTCTCAAGAATTTCTGATATACTACTACTTGATTGTAAAGAGTCACCTGGAAACGTGAAGAAAACATATTACCTTCTTTGAACAAGTTTTCCTTTATTGAGTTCCAATCCATGTCATGGTTACTTGGACTTTAATAAAAGGGAAACAAGTTTGAACTGAAATCAGGTCTTGGTGCTTGTCCCTGTTGTATTTGCTTTGCAAAGGAGAAAATGAACTAGTGCATGACCATTGGTTCGTGGTTCTGTTGCCGTCTGAGAGAAATGCTTGGATTCTCCAGACACCACATGCCCTTCTCTGATTCAGGGGAGGTGACTTGGGTAGTGGAGCACACCTAGCCCTGCCCCTCATCCCCAGCTCTGTAAGGTGTGGGCCATGTGAAAAACAGAAGTCGAAGAATGGAGGCCTGGGCTGGGGTTCTGTGTAAAGGCACATGACAGCCATCCATACCCCAGCCCCCCCTTAAAAAGGGTAGAAATGTGAAATAAAGCAGCTACGGAAGCATATGGGTGTGTAGCAGGGAGGCTGGATTCTTTTCTTAGGTTTGAGATCTTGCCCTCCCTCATTTGCTCAATCCATCCGTCACTGGAGATATTAAAGCAAAGGCTTGTGCCACTTCTTATCAAGGATATGGTGGTTGGGGACCTGAGGATAGTGTTTGCTTTGCGTGCACCCGCCCAGGTTCAGTCCCTGGCACCCCATGTTCCCCTGAGCACCACCAGGAGTAGTGATACATGAGTACCACAGGGTGTGGGGTTCATTTCCCCTCCTCCAGAAAAAAAAAAATCTGCTGTTCTGGTGGTCAAAAACAAAGTGGAAACCAACGTAACAGCGACCATTCCTTTGTGCTTCGATTTCCCCCAGTCTCCAGCCTAACTTTTCGTTTCCAACCCTGGCCTAAAGCATAGGCCACTGTATGGGTGGCCCAGAAGTCACACACTGTTGACCCACCCTGCGGGAGGTCAAGAAATTAGCTCTGGGACTGCCGCATGAGATTTGGCAGTTCTACAAAGGTCTGGGGCTGCTTTCCAGCGGGCCACAAGGACATCCCTCGGGGACCAGACAAGTCAAGAGCCATGACAGCGGAGCCCTCCAACACAGCCGAGGGCCAGGCCTACCCCCACCCTCCTTCGAAAGGCCTGTTTTGCCCGTTTTTTGCTGTCTGATGGGCAGTGAGATCAGTTCCAGTTTAAACCCCAAACGGTACTCCGGAGGGCGGGTCGCCTGCCTTGCACGCGGTCCACTGGGGTTGGATCCTCAGCACACCGTCTGGGTGGTCCCGTGGCACAACCAGGAGTGATCTCTGAGTGCAGAGCCAGGAGCACGGCCCGAGCACCCACGGGTGTGGCCAAAAAAAAAAAAAAAGTAAAAAAAAAAGTAGAAGCAGGGCAGACCTCGTCCAAGGTCACACGCACCGCGGGGCTGGAAATAAACGTGCGCGGGGGCGTTAGGGCATCGGTCGGCGCCGCCTTGGGTGCCCCCTGCCCCCGCCAGGGCCCTGCAGCTCTCAGGGCAGCGCGTCAAAGCCTCCCGCCTCGGGGTCCTGGGGGAGCGGCGGCTGCTGCCCGCGACGAGCGCGGCGGGTGCAGTGCGCGTGCGCGCGCGGAGGGGCGGGCGGGAGCGCGGCGGGTTCCGGAAGGGCGCACTGCGCCTGCGCGCCGCCCTCTCCCCCCTGGGGGCGCGGCCAGGCCATGGCGACGGCCGAGCGCGGCGCGCACGCGGGCCCGGGCCGCGCGGGGCCCGCGGGGGCGGCCGTGGAGAAGCGGGGGCCCTACCTGGTGCCGCGCGCGCCCTCCCTCCAGGCCAGGCTGCGTGAGTGCGGCGCGCCGCGGGGGTCGGTCGCGGGGGGCGCGGGGTCGCGGGGTCGCGGGGGCGGCGCCCGGCCCGGCCCGCCCCGCCGCGCTCACCGCGGCCTTTGCCTTCCAGAGAAGCACCGGGACCTGGCCAAGGCCGTGCTGCGCAGGAAGGGCATGCTGGGGGCGCCCCCGAAGCGCCCCGACTCGCCGGGGAAAAGGTCTCCGCCCGCGGGGCCCGCGCGCTCCCGTCCGGGGGGCGGGCGTGGGGGTCACGTGCCCCGGAAGGTCGCGGCGGCGCCGGCCGCGACCCCGACCGCGCAGGTGTCTGGTCGGTGGGTTCTGGGCAGGCCTCGCCGTTGGCGGGGTGCCGGCGACCAGGCCCGGGTTGGGGTCTGGACCCCGCCCCGCGGTGCTCTGGAGCCGCCCCCAGCTCCGTGCCGGGCGGGGCAGACCCCCGTGCACCCCCCGCTGACGCCCCCGGTCCCCGCCCCGATGGGCCCGAGCTTGCACCCCTCCCCGCTCTCTCTGGTGCCCGGGAAAGGCTTGTCGGTGCCTGGAGGCCATCAGTGTCCCCCGGGAAGGGGTGGGGGAGGAGCCTGATCGGAGCCCCGGGAGCATGGGGTGGGGGGCGCTCGGTCTCGGGCTTTTGACAGGTGACAGCGGGAACTCCAAGGAGTTTGCCCCAAGACTTGCAGAGTCTCTGTTTCCTGATTCGAAGAAGTTTGCGCGTGCGGGTAGAGGGCGGTTCTGCAGTCCCAAAAGAGGAACCGAGCCATGGGGGGTGGGTGGGGGGAGGAGGCTTCTGGCACTGTCTTTGCCCAGGCACCCCTTGACCCCTTGTCAGGGCCGGAAGCTGGTGCCTCATCCCAGTGTGGTCTCCCCACTTCCCCCCAGGTCAGTGAAGTTTAACAAGGGCTACGCCGCTCTCAGCCAGAGTCCAGATGAAAACCTGGTGTCCCTCGATTCCGACAGGTGAGTGCCCCCCTAGTAAAGAGCCCTTGGGGAGTGACAGGTCAACTTGGAGGTGGCTGGGAGCCTTTGCTTCTTGCTTTGCTCTTCCAAGAGCCTGCCCGTGTGTCCCAGGGCTGCTCCGGAGCGCCGGGATGTGGGATGGCTCCGTTTGTGGCTGTCGGCTGCTCTCAGCTCTTGGGAGAACGTTTTTGGGGAACCACACTCACGGGTGCTCCCTCTGCAAGGGATGTGCTTGGGCCCTTGGAGCTCTGGGCCCTGGAGGAATCAGGCTCTACCCCGCTGGGTAGCAGCAGTGACCATGTTGCTGCTGGACACAAGAGTCTGTGCATCACAAGACCCCAGCCCCCATCGTGTGCCTCGCCACCCCTGCAGCAACCCACCGGAGGCCGCCTCTGAACTGACTGTCTCCCTCTTCTCCTAGTGATGGGGAGCTGGAATCCAGATACTCCTCCGGGTATTCCTCTGCTGAGGCAAGTCCACAGCGCCTCTCTGTGCGGGGCCGCCCCTGCCCAGTGCTCGTGCCGAGACTCCTGTCCACTCTCAGTGCCTCCCCCAGCAGAGAGAGGTGTCTGTGGGGGGGGCTTCTGAGAATCCAGCTCACAGACCCTCAGGGCTGGAAAAGACTTGCCAAGGTTTCTGATCCAGCCTGCCACTTAGAAAAGGATTTCTCTCGATTAAATCCTAGCTAAGTGTTTATCTGCCTCTGCTTGCTTGAACGCTGCTTATAAGGGGAACTCGTCTGAGTACCCAATTATAGGCACCTCCCTGACTGCCCAGTCCCCAGCATGCACGCCATCCACCAAGATCCAGAGAAAGTACGCGCAAACACCCCGTTAGCTGGGATCCAGAAAAAGTGTGTACACACACACACACACACACACACACACACACACACACCATTAGCTGGGACCTAGAAAAGGTGTATATAGACATACACACAGTTATGCACCCCATTAGCCAAGATCCAGATAAAGTCTGCCACTGTTTCCTCTCATTGTTCTTCTCCGTACAAGTGAAAACCAGGTGGACATTCCACTTTGCAGGGAACAAGCTCTTCTGGGCTATTTGGAGGCTGGCAAGTCTGACCAGCAGCTCGGCTGTTCCCCACCCACCCTGTCCCCCAGTACTCACAGTTCCGCTGCCTCCCACCCCATGTGCTGCTCTCATTGTATGCAGCAGGAAGGTCAGTGGATTGATTTTCAGGCACAAGCTGGAACCTGATATACCCCTCCGAGGAACCCTCGGGAAGCCTCTTCCCCGGCCAATGACAGCAGCCTGCCGGGACAGTGCCCAGGCACTCAGATTCCCCCAGCTGGCTGAGGTCCCCCAGGAAAGGAGGTTCAGTGGGTGGGCCTGGGCGCAGGGCTGTGGCCAGAAGCTCTGGGAGGGAAGGTGGGCCCGGGCCCTGCACTGTGGCTCATCCCTTTCTCCTCCTACTGTTAGCAGGTGAACCAGGACGTGAGCCGACAGCTGCTCCAGGATGGGTATCACCTGGACGAGATGCCGGACGATGAGGACTTGGACCTCATCCCCCCGAAGCCTATGGCCTCGTCCATGTGCTCCTGCTGCTGGTGCTGTCCTGGGGACTCGCCCTCCTGTACCCTGCAGTAGACATAACCCCTGAGCTAGGCCCTGTTGGCCATTGTAAGCCGGGGAGTTCCCCAAGCATTGCTGCAGCCCCAGGCCGCTGACTGCTATCCCCCTGGGAAGGTCAGTGACCTCGGATACCCCTTACTTGGTGCTTCTCAGACCGGGGAGCTTCCATCACCCCAGGGGGGACAGCATGCTGCCATTACGTCCGCTGCGGGGGAAGTCTGAGGGCAGGTGCAGACGGACCCTGGGTCTTCTATTTTTATTTTTGGTTTCCGGTCACATCTGGCAATGCTCAGGGCTTAGTAACCTGGCTCTGCACTCAGGAATTAACCCCGGTGGGGCTCGGGGGATTATATGAGTTGCCAGAGACCCAACCCAGGTCAGCCACAGTGCAAGGTAAATGCCCTACCTTCTGCACTGTTGCTCCAGCCCCGAAGCCTGGGTCTTCTTGAGTTGGCTAGGAGAACCCTCCCAGGCCTCTTGGTGGTGCTCGTCCTTTGGCAGGGAGGGGACGAGAACTTTTCTGCCCGGACTGGGCTGGCTGCTGGTATGTGGGGGCAGAAAGTTGCTGTTGGGGACTCGTGGCTGGGAATCTTTGTCAAAGAATTGATCTGAGACTGTTCTGGTGTTCCCCCGTGCTCCTCCTCTGCTTTGCCCCAACGTGGGGTCTCTGTTTGGCCTCCGCGTCAGCATGAACTCAGCACCAGGGGAAGGTGGCCCAGGGGTAATGCAGGCTTCGCATGTCACAGGCACTGAGTTTGATCCCTGGCCATTCACGTACAAGAAGGAAAAGGACCAGGAGCCGCACACAGTCACCTCTGACCGTTTCTGGAGGTGCCTGTCTGTGCGGGGTCTACAGGCCCATCCTCCCAGAATCCCTGAGCTGATATCTTCCCCCCGTGTGACCACCTGGGACGCAGGTCAGCCTGGAGCGAACACACTGCGGTGTTTGTTCCTTTCCCTGAACACCATTCTCTGCCTTGGTCTTAGCTACTTTCTCCACTTAGTCGTTTCCTTTTTTTTTTTTTCTTTTTCTCCAGTTGAGAGGTGGAGGCCGTGTGTTGGGCCACCCTGGTGCTGCTTGCCACTCTCAGCAGAGCTCAGGGGATCGTGGTGGGCCCAGAGATCAAACCAAAGACTCACAGGCCATCGTTGAGCTTTTTAAAAGATGTGGGCGGAGGGACTAGCCAGAGGCCTGCGGTTTTCGTGATGACCAGCAGAGGGAGCAGTGGAGGGCTGTCGGGAGCCTTGCTTGTTTTTATTTTGGGGCCACGCCTGTCTGGTGTCAAGGGTCCTCCTGCCACTCCCGGATGGTCTCTCCGGGCAAAGCACACACTCAGCACTTTGAGCTCTCTCCAGCCCCTTGTTCCTCTACTTCAACTGTTGGGAAATAATTGGGTGAGAAGCTTGCCAGGATGGAGAGGGGGGGTCTATGCCACGCCCCCGGCACTTCAGGAACACGGCAGAGAAGATGTCCCTGCCCGCAGCCCCCCACTCCCCCCCATTGTCTGCCAGGCCTCTCTGGAATTGGATTTTTCTTGTTCCGTTTGGTTTGGGGCCACACCCAGTGGTCCTCGGGATCATTCCTGCCGGTGTTCGGGAGGCCATATGGGGTATCAGGGATTGAACCCAGGTTGGCTGCATGCACGGCAAGTGTCTCTCTGGCCCCCAGAATCGAGTTTTTCAGTGATTCTCTTCCGGGGGAAGGGGAGTCTCCTAGAAAGAAGCAGCCTGGTGAGGGCTGGCTGAGTGGGTGGGGCTCCTGGCCCCCAGGAGCTTCGCAGTGAGGATCAGAGTACTGGCCCCTCTGGAGAAAGTGCCTGTCTGTGGCCTCATTTCTGTCCTGACTGCTAGGGGCAGAAGAGGAGCGGGTGCTTGGAGCTACTCATCACCCCAAGGTGACAGGACAGTAGTCTTGAAGGGTGCGAAGCCACCTTGCTAATCCTCCGAGGGTGGAACCCCATCAGCAGCGGACCGCCTGTCCCACGGGGTAAAGCGGGCTCCGGGCGCTGAGGCCACAGTGTCACAGGCAGGCCAGCAGCGTCCCAGCCAGGGGAGGTGGAACAGGGCACAGAGGGGATCCTTGTCTATCCAGAGTGAGACCGCACGGGCACCTTGGGGAGCAGCAGCTCCATGAGGAACCCCTCTAGTCCCTGACAGGGCATCCGAGCCTCCTCCGGCACGGTGGAGAACGTGCCACGTCAATGGCTCGTGTCGGGGCAGCATGACCACAGACGGGCAGAATACATTTCAGACATGGGTCGTGTCACCTGAGCATTTGGCAGCTGCTGGGGGAACCCAAGACCGGATCGCTCAGGGAAGCCGCTGCTGGACACCAACACTGGTGGGCACTGTGCAGGGGGACCACGCAGTGCGACAGGGCTGGACCTCAACAGTCAGGGCACCAAGGTGCCCACTGCCGTAGCCAGAGTGCTGGGTGTTGTGCAGGGAGACGGCCGTGGGTTCCCTGAGAGGGCACTGAGGGTGCGAGGACTCTCCAGGACGCTCCTCGGTTTCTCGGTTTCTGTATGTTTATGAGAATAAATACGATCAAGCAAGTGGAGGTGTGTCTATCTCAGTAGGACTTGTTTGGGGCTGCATGGGGGGTACTCCTGGAGGTCCTCGGGCACAAGCCCTGTGGGACTGCAGCCTGGAGTTCTCTCACCCTGCGGGAGGACTGGTTTGTGGGTCATACTCTGAGGTGCTCAGGAATCACTCCTGGTAGTGCTACGGGGAGCATATGAGGTACGGGGCATTTGAAGTGGGGTGGGCAGGATGCACAGCAGATTCCTTAACCCCTGTGCTCTCTTCCCCAACCCCTGCAGTTAGGCCAACACTGGTCATTCCCCTTTGGAACTCTAGCCTGAAGAAATAACTCAGTAAGCCAGACCGAAGCAGCCCCTTTCAGGCCCACTGGAGACCAGGGGTAGAACAGGCCTTGTCCCATCACTCAGCTTTGATTTGAGTACACACCTGGCTGTGCGCAGCACTTACTCCTGGCTCTGTGCCCGGGGGTCATTCTTGGCCATGCCCAAGGGGCCACAGGGGATGCCAGAGACCGAACCCAGGTTGGTGGCATGCAATGCCACTACCCTGTCTGCTGTACTATCTCCCGCGCCCTATATCACTCATCTTTAGAAGGGGGTCCTGATAGCATGTCATCTTGTTCTTTATTCTGAAGAAAATTTGAAGGCTGTTAAAAAAAAAAAAGGCAACAGGGCAGACCTGGACAGAGCGTTTTTGGAGGCAGTTTCCTGGGATTCTGTTGATTCTGTTGTGCGGGAGCCCCCGTGGGGCATCCACTGAGAAAGACCCTCCTGCGCAATCAACTCTCCGCCCACAGGAAGGAGCCCACAGCCTGGGCCACGGCTCAGTGTGGGGGGCAGGACACGAGGGTGTGGTCAGAACCTCAGTGCTCCTGCAGAAGTGGGTCCCCTCTCCAGGGGCGCCCCAGCAGAACAGACGCTCTCCCTGGGAATTCCTGCTAGGTTAAAAAAAGTAGCTAGGTTTCACTCAACTGGAACTGGATTGTCCTGTTCCCGAGTCCGTTTCCACAATGACTGGACGTGCCGTGGGGAAGTAGGTGACACACTTTTTTCCCTGTAAAGGGTCAGTACCAGTACTTTGGGCTTTGCAGGTACAGCCTGGCACGTATACACAACCTCGCTTCAGTGGCCTGAGAGCAGAATCTGTGGGGGTCTGTGGATGAGTGATGAGGCCACACCGCGCCCACTGGCCTTAGTTTGCTGACCAGGCCTGTGAGCTCACTGCCCAAGGAGAGTCTTGGCTTCCAGCCCGCCTGCCTCCTGTGACCCAGCTCTGGAGCCTTGACTGAGAGCAACCACCCGCGGTGCCTGGGAGGTGGCACTGAGGGCGCAGAGGCCCCGGGTTGTCAGCCACTCACCAACCATCTTCAGGCACCACTGGGGGGTGGGCCCTGGTCACTCCCAGGTCTGCTGGGCCTGAGCAGAACTGGGTTGAGTGTTGTCTGGAGTAGCTCCAGGCCCTCTGACCCCTGCTTGCGAGACAACCCAGCCCCCCAAAAAATAAACCAAGGGAAGTCAGGATGCAGCAGTGTGGTGGTGGAGGGGACTCTCAGGACGCCAAAGGCCAAGGCCATCCCACAGCCTCGACACCAACATGTGTCATCTTTAATTGTTTTGACATCAAGAGTCGCCAGGGTAAGTGACACAGGCACCCCCCTCCGCCCCCTGGGCCTCTGCAGGCCCCGGGCCAGAACCCTGTTCTGAGGGGTGACCTGCCTGGCCTCCTGACGCTGGAGGGTGAGAGATTCCCACCAGCCCATGGGCGGTGGCAGCAGCAGCTGGGTGCCAGGGGAGCCTGGCTTGGGAGTGTGTGAGGCCTCGGTCCTTGGGCGTCTCTCCCAGAGTAGATGCCCTGCCCAGGCCAGCTCAGCAGTCATGCTTCCAGATTCCTCCCTCCATTCCTGCCACAGCAGGGGAGAGGCCTGGGCGGGGCCCCTGGGCCCAGAGTGACCTTGGTGGCTACAGCAGACAGCAGGCGCGGAACATGAGCAGCGCCTCGGCCCCCGTGCGCTTCAGAGAGACGGCCTCCTGGGCTGCGATGAACAGCACCCCACCCCGCCGCAGGGGGGTCCCCGAGGGCGTCGAGCGGGAGCTGGCGGTCGCTGCCCCCTGCACCATCAGGAGGATGCTGGCAGAGTCCACGACCAAGAGGTTATATTCGGTGACGCTGGCAGGGACCTGGCAGGAGGAAATGGCAGGGCTGGCAGCCCTGGGCAGTGTTCGAGAGTGCTGCCCCGCCCTCGGCCCCGCAGCCTGAGGCCCCTGAGTGGCCCCTGGCAGGTGGCCATGCCAGCAGTGGCCTCAAAGGAGGAAACTGAGTCCAGGGTCCTCCACATACACTACTACAGAGGACCCTGGGAGAAGGCTGTGAGCCCCTCAAATACCTGCCTAAGCCCCACCCCCTCCTTCCCCCGGTCCCCTCCCTTCCACCCACCCCCTCCCACTCACCTCCATCTTCAGGATGGTGAAGTCCGGCACTGGGGGGTCATAGATGGAGAGGTAGGGGTCCTCCTTGCTCTGGGTAGGAGGGAAGAGCCGGTCCCTACTGGGCCCAGGGGTATAACTGAGCATTTCACACAGCGTGGGAACGTCGATGAACTTGGGGGTCAGGCCGGCACGCACGGTGTTGTCTGAACACGCCATGCACTCCACACAGTCTGGGGATGGATGGGGTTGGGGGCAGCTGACGGAGGTAGCCCTGCAGCTGGGTTCCCAGCCCGGGGCCACAGACTCCCTGCAGACTTAGCAAGAGAGGCAGGAACACAGGGCTGGAACCACAGAACATCGGGGAAGGCACTTGCCTTGTACATGGTCAAGCTGGGTTCGAGCCCCAGCACCCAGATGGTCCCCTGGGCCCTACCAGGAGTGATCCCCTGAGCAGAGCTGGGGGCAGCCCTAAGCACCGCCAGGTGTAACCAGTCACCTGCTGTTGTCAATTGGAATCGTGCTCACCCCCATGGAGCCCCAGCCCGCCCAGACCCACTCCTGCCAGTGGGTAAGCAGCTGGCATTCCAGGGCGTGTGCCACACAAGACCTCTGGGCAGACTGACGGGCAGTGAGAGGGGTGTGGCAGCCGTGACCCAGCATGACCCAGCCCTGTCCACCGGGCTTCCACCACCCTCCGCCGGCCTGCCACCGGGTCCCAGGCTGGCACAGGGCCACTGTGAACTTCAGCGGTGCCCAGCCCCACACTAACGCTCATGCCTTCAGTGCCCACGCCCTGCGGGTGCCAGGAGCCCCGGAGGCCAGAGCAGGCCGTGTCCTTAAACAAGGTCTCCTTCAGCCCCTCCCTGGCACTGCCCAGCCTGGAGGCTCTCCCGGGGGGGGGGGGGGGTCCCGAGCAGGCGGCCCACCTCCTTTCAAGTAGGCGTGCGGCACGTTGGCCTCCAGGAACATGGCCTCCCCGGGCTGCAGCGTGAGCAGGTTCAGGAAGTAGATGGCGAAGCAGCCGATGTCCCCCGGGTACTGCTGGTGCAGCTGCAGCAAGAGCTCGCCGCAGATGTCCTCCATCTTGTCTCCAGCAGCCACTGGGGGTCACAGAGCACCCCACGGCACCTTAGGGACACTCGGCCATGTCCACAGCCCCACCTTGGCCAGGGAGTCCTAGCATTGCCCCTGTCAGCAGAATCCAGAAACCGGAATGTCGCGGCCCTGTTCCTCGGGTCCACCAGGACGCCAACTTCCACTTGGACCATCCGTCTACCCATCTCTACTGCGGGGGCTGGAAAGACCCGCCGCAAGTGTGAGCAGCACCGCGCCCCCCTGCCCCCGTGAGCAGCGCAGCCATGGCTGGTGTGCCTTAAGGAGTGTTTGGGGCTGGAGCAACAGTGCAGTGGGCAGGGCGTTTGCCTTGCACGAGGCCGACCTGGATTAGGTCCCAGCATCCCATATGGTCCCCTGAGCAGTGCCAGGAGTAATTCCTGAGTGTACAGCCAGGAGTAACCCCTGAACATTGCTGGGTATGACCCAAAAAGCTGACAAATAAAACTATTTAAAAAGAGGGGCTGGAGCGATAGCACAGTGGGCAGGGCCAAAAAGCTGACAAATAAAACTATTTAAAAAGAGGGGCTGGAGCGATAGCACAGTGGGCAGGGCGTTTGCCTTGCATGCAGCCGACCTGGATTCAATTCCCAGCATCCCACATGGTCCCCCGAGCACCGCCTGGAGTAATTCCTGAATGCAAAGCAGGAGTAACCCCTGTGCATCGCCGGGTGTGATCCAAAAAGAAAAAAAAATTATTATTAAAAAAAAAAAAATAAGGAGTGCTTTCCTGATTAATGGGGGCGCAAACCTCCCTCTGGTCACCCTACGGCCCAGTGCACCCTGCAGCTCATGCTAAGGGTGAGTCTGGGCAAGCACCACAGCTGAAAGTGAGGCCCGACCATCAGAACAACGTCATCATGGAGGGGGCCAGCTGTCCCACTTAACCCACAGGCCTTCCTCTTGTTTGGGACACTGTCCAAACTGCGTCTCACCAGATGACCGGTCACCCCAAGAACAGGAGGTGGAATGTACCATGGGCCAAGTGGTCCTGCAGGCAGACAGCAGGGGAGAGTGACCGGGGCCACGGCCGGCTCCCTACGGTGGCCGGGGAGGGAGGCTGCCTGCTTCCGAGAGTGCAGAGACGCCAGGTGATGGGCCCAGCGATGTGCGCACACAGAGGCCATGGATAAGGCTCCATGGCTGAGCTCACTACGCCTGACAAGGGCGAGAGGTCCTGGGCTCGGCCCCAGCACCACAGAGAAGGAGACAGACAGGGGCCCTGGCCTGGAGGCAGACGCGGGTGCCCAGGATGACAGAACTAAGGTCGATGATACCTGACACACACACGGGGGGTTACTGGAACTCCAGGCAAGAGTAATCAGCTCTGCTGGGAAGGCAAGAGGCCCTAAAAGGAGAGGCATGCAAACAGAAAAGGGGAAAAAACAAAGGAGACATAGGGGACACTGGGGTCAAACAAATACTTCCTCGGGGCAACAGGGGAGGTGTGTCAGAAGAAGCCGGGACTCTGGGTCCCTGAGAAAGGGATGGGACCTCACTACCTGTGCCCATAACTTCACAGCTGAGGATCCTGCTGCTTCGGGCGGAACTGAGTCCCAACCTCAAGGTGGCCAGACCCCCACTCCCCCGTGTCATGCCCTGGGTTCTCCTTTGGTACCGGAGGTTGGGCGCCAGCAGGCGTTTAAGGACTGGGCAGAGCTTGTGGCATCAGACCCTGGGTGAGGGGGCGGAGCTCTCCGGCCCTTCCTGCTCTTCAGCCCCAAGCTCAGCCGCAGGTGCAGAGGAGCAGCTACGGGCAGAACCTCAGCGGGAGCCTCAGGGGGCTCCTGTCTTCCTTCACCCCTGGGCCTCCAGGACACCTCACAGGCCTGCTGTACACCTAAGGGCAGGGGTAGAGAACCCCGACTCCACTGCCCGGAGTCCGTGCTGGGGGAGGGGAGGCTGGGTGGGCGGCCAGCTCCCCCGCCAGACCTCAAGCACACCCACCTTGCTGGGAAATCCGCTTCACCAGCAGGTTGAGCTGTTCCACCACCTCCTTCTTCTCGCTCTTCATCAGGTGGGAGAAACAGCTCCGCAGGGCGGCCGCGTCCCTGCTCTGCTTCAGCCGGGCGGCCGCGTCCGCTCCCACGAGGAACTGGAACTCAGGCACCCCTGCGGGAAGGCCAGCAGCTGGAGGAGGGGTCCCCGCCCCGTCCCCAACTGAGGATCTGGGTGAGGGCCTTGCTCTAAGTCATCTAAGGCAAAGCTAACGAACTACGCACCCCAGCCCAGGGCAACAGACCTGAGTATGTCCTCCCAGCCCAGCCCAGTGACCCCTAGAAGTCACCTTAAGCGGGCGGAGCAATAGCACAGAGGGTCAGGCGCTTGCTTGAACACAGCCAACCTGGGTTTGAGCCCCGGCTCCCCAGATGGCCCCATCAGCATCACTAGGAGTGACCCCTGAGCACAGAGCCAGGAATAAACTCTGAACACTGTTGGGTGTGGGCCCAAAAGCCAAATAAAATAACCTACATTTTTCTTGAGATATATATATGTATATATATATATATATATATATATATACATATATATATATATACACACACACAAACACAAATCAACACTTTAAATGATAGGGCTGGAAAAAGAGTACAGGGGTTAAGGGGCTTGAACACAGCTGACCCTGTTTCAACCCCCAGCACCCCATATGGGTCCATGATCATGACCAGGTCTGACCCCAAAACAAAACCAAACGAGAAACAGAATTCTTAGCAAGCACGCCCCCCGCTCCAGGCATTCAGTCTGGTTCTCCCAACAGCGCAGCTCTGCCCAGGGCCCTGGACATCTGGCCATGCCAGTCTTACTTGTCAGAAAGGTCACGATCTCCTCCACGGGCCTGAAGCCACATAAGCCCTGGAACGAGGTGAGGGCAATGGCCATCTCGGGCTTATGGTTGGCATCGGGGTAGTGTTCTGGAGCCTGGACGTGCAGCTTCTCCGCCAGCTCCTGTAGGGTGGCCAGGAGACAAGGTGGTCAAGGCCTGGCTATCCCTGACAGGACACCTGAGCCACCAGCCCTTGCTTTCTGCCCAACCCTGTCGCTAGAGGGCGGTGGCAACCGCACCTGGCGACCAGCCCAGTCCTGCCCTATGGCAGAGCCGGGGTTCAGATAAGTCAGGGTGGAGACAGAGGCCAAATCTGTGGGAGGGCTGGGCCTCGGCTGTGACTCAGGAAACCAGAGTCATCTGAGCTCATAGGCTGTGTGACTTGGGGTGAACCCTCCGTCTCTGGGCTCCCTGTGCCTGCCGAGAATAAAGGGTGTGCCGGACACCTGCCCGGCCGTGACTCAGGCAGAGGCTGTTGGATGGCGTGGAGGTAAGGGCGGGGTGCCAGCCCTGTCCCCAAAGGGGAGCTCCCCCAGAGAGCCGGGAGTAGAAGTCTAGATTCAAAGAGTGGGGACCCCAGGGGCGCCCTGGAGGAGGCCGGGGACACAGCCCGAGCAGCAGGGACACCTGTGTCCTGTGAGCAGAACTAAAACGGGAGCGGTCAGGCCTGGATTTAGCTCTGGGCTAGAGCCTGGCCTGGGTGAGGAGTCAGCAGCAATAAAAGAGTGGGAGGGCCTGCCCCCCAGGGCCCCACCCTGAGCCCCACCTTGTTGGGGTGCGCCTGGATGGACAGGGCCGTGTCCACGGACAGCACCTTGAAGAGGAAGGGCAGCGAGGCCTGGAAGCGCGCCTTCACCTTGGCGCCCAGGCAGTCGGGGTTTGCGGCAATCCACTGGCCCAGGGTTTTCTGAGGGATGCGGTTGTCGAGGATCTTGGCATCTCCACGGGGGTGTGTTCCCATCCACAGCTGAAAGGACAGGACACATGGGAGGGAGGGGAGGCACCCCAGCCCACCCGCTGGTCCATCCCAGCACGAGATTATCCTGTGCGACCCCATACAGCTGAATCCTGGGGCAGGTCTCCCAGAACTAGGGGTCCTCAACCTTGGGGCTTCAGTGATAGCACAGCGGTAAGGCGCCTGCCTTGTATGCAGTCAGCCTGGTTTGATCCCTGGTGTCCCATATGGTTCCCTGCGAACTGCCATAGCCCCAAAAACAAAAAACAAACAAACAAACAAAAAGTTCCTCAATCAAATCGAAGCGGTCAATCCCACAATACCAGGAACTGGAAAACCAAAGCTTATTGGGGGGGGAGGCGGGAGGCGGGAGGCAGAACACCCCTTCCCTCAAATTAAGTAAGTAAATAAATAAATAAAATGTTAAAGCTAGTCAAAGTGAGGTTTGAGTTTAACTTCTGGTATCATGTGTTCCCTGCCACACCCTCCCCCCAGCATTTCTGGGTGGGGGGTCCTTTAAAATTTTTTGTTTGTTTAGTTTTGGGGTCACACCCAGCTGTGCTTAGGGCTTACCCCTGGCTCTGTGTTCAGGGATCACTCTGAGTGGGCTCAAGGGACCATACGGGGTGCCAGGGATGGAACCTGAGTCGGATGCATGCAATAAAAGTGTCCTACCCACTGTACTGTTGCTCCAGTCCCTATAACTTTTTTGTCAGAAACAAAAAAACTTGGACCAGAGCAATAGCACAGTAGGTAGGGCACTTGCCTTGCACGTGGTCAACCCAGGTTTGATCCCTGAGCTCTGCCAGGAGTGATCCCTGAGTAGAGCCAGGAGTAAGCCCTGAGTCAGGTGTGACCCAAAAACAAAGAATTTAAATCTTTCGTTATTTTATTTATTTTAACACTGGAGCACATTTTTTGTAATAGCAAAGATGCCAGGCTATAACACATAGGGCAGCATTTGCAGGAAGTCTGGTTTGTTGCTTTGACCATCTAAAAGGAATTTTAACATTTTAGATTTTATTTTTTGGGAGTGAGTGTTTGAGCACCTACTGGTGGCTCTGTGCTCATCAGGAGGGACCCTTCAGAGGACCATATGCCCGGCAGGGGATGGAACCTGGGTCAGCAGCATGCAAGACAAGCACCTCACCTCCAGTACTCTCTCCAGCACCCCCCCATAAAAATGTGCGATCTGGGTTGAAGCATAGTACGGTGAGTGGGTAGGACATTCGCCTTGCCCGTGGCCGACCCAGGTTTCATAACTGGCATCCCATATGGTCCCCCGAGCTTCTCCAGGAGTAATTCCTGAGTGCAGATCCAGGAGTAACCACTGAGCATCGCTGGGCATAATGCCCTCCCCCACCCCAAAAATAAAACATCTAACCTGTCTATAGCTGGAGCCCAGGTCAGCAGCATGCAAGGCTGCCTTCCCTCAGCTCCTGGACTATCTCTCCAGCAACGCCCACCCCCCCCCACACACACCCCATAAAAATGTGATCTGTCAACTGCTAAATTAAATTCTACAAATACTGAGTGTTTGGAGGTGGGGAGTGACCTTACAGGAAAGCCCAGCCTACAACAGCAAAACCTCTTTCTTTCCCTTCTGGGGGTCACCATCCGGGTTCGCCACACTGGACACATCTTGCAGCCCCTCGGGGGGCCTGGCTCAGAGCTGGAGGGCGCTCCCGGGCCTCAGCTGCGGGGCAGTGGGTGGGTGGCTGGGTGAGGGGGGGGACGCAGGGGTCTCACCTCGGCATAGGGCTTGTCCTCCTCGATCTGGACCAGGGGGTCGCTGCTGGCCAGCAGGCGGGCCACCTCGCTGCTGGAGCCCTTCTTCCCCCAGGCATACTGCTGCACCGCGCAGGAGAGCGGGAACACTGCGGGCAGAGAGAGGCTCAGCGGCCGCGTCCCCCCCGCGCGCGTCCCCGGGGGCAGCTGGGGGCCCGACCCGGCCGAGGTGGGCTTCGACTCCCGGCATCCCATCTGGCGGGGAGGGGGCGGCTGCTCGAGGGGCCCCTTCTCTGCCGGCCTCGGAGCCCTCGGTCAGGGGCTGCCAGGCCGGGGCGCCACCGTTGGGGCGCGGGGGCGATGCTGGACACGGCCTTTCCAAGTGACCCCCGGCCCGCCTCTGCGCGGCCACGAGGGCTCGGGCGCCCCGCGCGGGTGCCCCCTCCCCCGCCCTGCACCCATCGGTCTTGCCGCCGGGCCCCCCACAAGCGGGTTCCACCCGGCACAGCAACACGAGAAGCCTCAGGACGCGACCCCCGGAGCAACCGCCCACCTCGCGGAGCTGCCATACTCCGGGTCTGGGACGTGGCCGCTGTCACGGAGGCTTTTTCCCGGCAGCCCCCGCGCCCCGCGCCCGGAGCTTCATGGGAAATGTAGTTCCCGCCGCCCCTCCGCGGAGTCAGGGCTGCCCAGTGAGCTGGGAGATGCTCTTCCGGCTCTGGGTCTCTCCGTCCCGTTCCCCGTTATCAGGAGGAACCCCCTACCGGCTCAAAGGCTTCCAGTCCGCAGTCTCGGGTCTCTTTCATTCTTTCCTGCCCCATAGGCACTTACTGAGGACCTGCAAAATATCTCCAAGGTGGTATCTGGAGAAACATCAGAGAAGGAGATGGTCTTTGTAGAACTTACGTTCTGGCAAAAGACAGGCAAAGGCATGTGCTCAATAGGCAAATCGTATGTCATATGGAGAGACAAATGCTCCAAAGTGTCAAAGTGCTTGTTTTCTGACTTTGAAAGGTTGCTTAGACGAGCCTTGCTGAGAAGGAAAGATGAAATGTTTGGGAGGAACATTCTCTGAGGTGTTCAGGACCAGGAGTTAACCCAGGGTATCACACATTCAAACAAGTACTCTAGCCCTGACCAATCCTTGGCCCAAAATTTGGGCACTTTTGGGACAGTGACATGATAGGACAGGGGTTAAGGCGCTTGCTTTACATGCAACTGAACAACTGAAACTTTTTCAATCACCAGCACTGCATATGGTCCCCCAAAGACCACTGGGAACAACCCTTGAGCAGAAAACTGGAAGTATCATCAAGTACTGCTAGATGGGTACCCCAGAATCCCTCCCTAAGATAGAATATTTGGGTGTTTCAAATTTGGAGGCAGGGGCTGGAACAATAGCACAGCTGGTAGGGCATTTGCCTTGCATACGGCCACCCGGGTTCAATTCCCAGTATCCATATATGGTCCCCCGAGCACTACTAGGAGTAATTCCTGAGTGCAGAGCCAGAAGTAACCCCTGTGCATCTCTGGGTGTGGCCCAAAAAGCAAATAAAATAAAAATTAAAAATAAACTCAGAGGCAAGGGGTTAGAGAGAGTTTAACAGTCAGAGCACATGTTTTAAGTTTTTTCTGTTTGTTTTTGGACCACACCCAGCAATGCTCAGGGATTATTTCTGGATCTACATTCAGGAATTGCTTCTGATACTCAGGGGACCATTTGGGATACCAGGGACTGAACCCCAGCCGGCCATATGCAAGGCAAGCACCTTACCCACTGCACTGTCACTCCAGTCCCTGAACACAGGCTTTGGATACAAGATGCCCGGGTTTGATTCTGGCACTGTGTGTTTTCTTGAACACTGCCATCTGTGGCCTCAAAACCCCAAATATTAAAATAAACCTGGATATAAGAGAGGCATGTACTATCCCGTAGATCAATGTTACTTCCAAAAGCAAAACTGAAAAACAAATTTGAAGGTAAGGAGAGATTGGCTTGGGAAGAAAAAAACAGCTAAGGGGAAGGCATTAAGGTAGGAATGTGGTTGTCAAGTTCTGAAGCAGCCAGCGTGGCTGGAGCAGATCAAATAGTCATAATTAGAAGCTTGAAACTTTCAGTCCCACTTCCTATTCTCAGGGGAGAGAAAAGGAAGAGACTGAGTTAATAAGGAGCCCATGGGGCATGCCTATGAAAGGAAGCTCAATAAAAATCCCTCAACTGTGGGTTCAGAGAGCTTTTCTGGGTTAGAGAACACACCACAGGGCTGAAGGGTGATGACCCCAACCCCATGGGGAAGGAGCTCCTGTACTCAGAACTGGCCCTTAGAGATCATTTCTCTTCATCTGGATGTTAAAGCAGCTAGAGAGGTGGTTGAGTGGGTAGGGTGTTTGCCTCGCACCTAGCTGACCCAGGTTTGATATCTGGCATCCCATATCTTTCCCTCCTTGCCAGGAGTGATTCCTGAGCACTACTGAGTGGTGCTGCTAATTGAGCAAAAATAATTTCTTTAGCATATTCTTGATTATAAAGTAAACTGTGTGGGGATGGAGCGATAGAACAGCGGGTAGGGCATTTGCCTTGCACAGGGCCGACCCGGGTTTGATTCCCAGCATCCCATATGATCCCCTGAGCACCGCCAGGAGTAATTCCTAAGTGCATGAGCCAGGAGTAACTCCTGTGCAATGCTGGATGTGATCGAAAAAGCAAAAGCAAAAATTAATAAACAGTGTGTATACTGAATTCTGGGAGCATTTCTTTAGCATATCCTTGAGTATAAGATAAACAACGTGTTTATTGAATTCTGGGAGCTGTTCTAACAAGAACATGAAGAGGCAGACATGAGAGCTGGTCTGTAGTTATGTGGGAGGCAAGCGATGACTCGAGATTGACGTAAGTAATGAGTCCTTCGAGTGTGGGACCTGAGGCCAAAGTGTCAGATGTAAGTGAAGATGCACCTGGTGTCAGAGAACTGGTTAGCGTAAGGGGGGACACCCACCCAGCTCGTCACAGGATCTGTGTGAATATTAAAGGCGAGGGCCATGCAGGGTTGGGCATTTGCCTCGCACATGGCTGACCCGGGTTCAACTCCCAGCACCATATATGGTCCCCCAAGCACTGCCAGGAATGGTCATGAAACACAGAGCCAGGAGTAAGCCCTGAGCACTGCAGGTGTGGTCCCCAAACTATATATATAAATACATATATATATATACATTTGCTCGAGCGGGCTGGAGCGATAGCACAGCGGGTAGGGCGTTCGCCTTACACGCGGCCAACCTGGCCGACCCGAGTTCGATTCCTCCGCCCCTCTCGGAGAGCCCGGCAAGCTACCGAGAGTATTCGATATGCCAGACACAGTAACAACAAAGTCTCCAATGGAGACGTTACTGGGCCCGCTCGAGCAAATCGACGATCAACGGGAGGGCCTTTACCTTTACCTTATATATACATATATATATATACATGAGAGAAACACCAGCATTTTTCCTCACACTCCCCTCAGAGGGCACTCACACCTCTGTGAGGGAAAAGGCATAGGTCATTTCTGAGGGGACACCTACATGGACCCCTTCTCATCCTCCCACTTCAGGTTACTTCCTCAAGAAATGTTGAGATATGGTGCTGGAGCGATAGTATAGCAGGTAGGGTATTTGCCTTGCACGCGGCCGACCCGGGTTCGATTCCCAGCATCCCATATGTTCCCCCGAGCACTGCCAGGAGTAATTCCTGAGTGCAGAGCCAGGAGTAAACCCTGTGTATTGCCAGGTGTGACCAAAAAAAAAAAAAGTTGAGATAGATAAAAGGATGATTGGGATTTAGACAGGAAGGCAAGAGAAAAAATCAATGGTAACAGTAAATATTTTCTAAATGCCTGGCATGTACTTAGTGCTATATTAGTGCCAGAAATGTCCCACTGCAGGAGCGGAGTGTTAGTACGATGGGGACAACATTTGCCTTGCATGTAGATGACCTGGTATCTCATAGGTCCTCCATGCACTGCCAGGAGTAATTTCTGAGTGCAGAACTCAGATCACATCAACTCACATCACATCAACTCACATCAACAGATGTGGTCACAAAAAGAAAAATGAAAGTAACACTGGATAGAACAGACCCTATTCTGGTCCTTGGAAAGCTTAGAGCCTAGTAGGAGAGCCAGACATCAAAACCCCCTTGTACAGTGTGTGTATTTTCCATCTTCAATAACTACTATGGAAGAAAAATAGTGGGCAGGGGATTGAGCTAACTCACAGGGAGAGGGGTCAGTCAGAAGGCTTGAGATGAGGAAGGGCATCTGACTTTGGATCTGAAGAACAGTGGGAGGTACCGCTGGGATGATGATAGGGTGGGGTGAGAGCTTACTGGGAAGAGAGCTCATAAATGGCTAAGGCCCTGAGGCAGGAGAAATGGAAGGATCTGAGAAGCAACTGGAAAGGCTGGGTGCACGGGGGACCAGCCAATAAAACGTGGAATATACATGTGAGATAGATCTTGCAGGACTTAAAGAACCTAAGAATTTGGGTATTTTTTTTATCTTATTTTTATTTTTTGGGCTGGAGCGGTAGCACAGCGGGTAGGGCGTTTGCCTTACAAGCGGCCAACATGGCCGACCTGAGTTCGATTCCTCCACCCCTCTCGGCGAGCCCAGCAAGCTACCGAGAGTATTCGATATGCCAGACACAGTAACAACAAAGTCTCCAATGGAGACGTTACTGGGCCCGCTCGAGCAAATCGACGATCAACGGGAGGGCCTTTACCTTTTATTTTTTGGGGGTCACACCCAGTGATGCACAGGGGTTACTCCTGGCTCATGCACTCAGGAATCACTCCTAGCAGTGCTCAGGAGACCATATGGGATGCTGGGAATTGAACCTGGGCAGGCCGCATGCAAGGCCAATGCCCTACCCACTGTGCTATCACTTCAGCCCCTATTTTTTCTTATTTTTTTGGAGATGGGGGTTAGGGCCACATTTGGGCTCTGTTCAGGAGCTCCTCCAGCTGTGCTGGGGGGACCATACAGTGTTAGGGATCAATCAGGAATAAATCAGCCTTCTCCTCTCCCTCCCCCTTTTGTTTGTTTTTTGTTTCCTGGGCCATGCCTGGTCATGCTCAGGGTTTTCTCCTGGCAGTGCTCAGGGGAGCATCTGGTGGATGACCTCAAACCTGGGTTTTCTGCATGCAAAGCATGTGCTCGCCCACTGAGCTAGTTCTTTGACCCCAACAAATGTTTTGTTTGATTTTAATTAATGAACCAATTTTGATTTGGGGTTCACACTCAGCAGTGCTTAAGGCTTACTCCTGGCTCTCTGTGCTTAGGGATCACTTCTGGCGGGGCTCAGGATACTATCTGCTAGGGTGCTAGGGATCAAACTTGGGCTGGCTGTGTGCAAGGCAAATGCCCTCATCACTGTGTTCTCTCTCCAAGCCCTTGGGTTGCATTCGTTTTGGGGGAGGTTTGGGCCATACCTGGCGATGGGCCACACCTGGCGAGGCTCAAGCATTGCATCTGGCTCTGCACTCAGGTATTATTCCTGTGGTGCTCAGGAGACCATAATAGGGTGTGGGGATGTAACTGGGTCTGCTGCCTTCGAGGCAAGTGTTTTGCCTATTGCTCGGCCCCTCAGGGAGGTCTATTTAAATTTTTTTTGGTAGGGGGCTACATCCTGAGGTGTTCAGGGGCTTTTCCTAGGTCTGTGCTTGGGAATCACTCCCCGCAGCGCTAGGGGACCATGTGGTGAGGGTGATCCAACTTGGGAGTGCAGCATTGCAAAGCAAGAGCTTTAACCAGGTACCCTCTCTCTCTGTCTTAGCCAGAGCAAAGGTCTACAGGGAGCACTCAGGAATGCACCAGATGATGTCTCACTGATGCTGGGCCCCTGGTGGTGTCATCAGGGCTTATCTATAGTCTGTTCTTCTGGAAAGAACCCCGCTTTCCCAGGGCTGATAGGTCCTCTCCGATCAGGAACGCGTCCCATCACTCAGAAGTAGGCTCACACTCCAGAGGCTTGCCCAGACCAGTGCAGACCAATCCCCAACTTTGGGGAACTTCCAGCACAGAGGTGAGTTATCACACCGGGACGCCCAGTGGGGAGGGTTCTGATTTTGCTTCGGGTCCTCTAATCTGGGGGAAAGGCCAGAAAAAAAAAAAAAAAAAGAAATCACACGCTCCGAAGTGGGCAGGGCAGGGCGGGGGCGGGGCGTCTGTGACGTCACGGGCCACGCCCCTCCGGGCGGCCGCCGCGCCTGCGCCAGAACGGCCCATTCGCTCCCGGAAGTGGAGGCTGTGGCCGGCAACCGCGGCTGGGTCGGTCCGGGCGCCTGGAGGCAGGAGCAGTCGCCGAGCGTGCCCGTCGGCCGCCGGTCGCCATGTCGTCCTTCGACACCAACCCCTTCGCGGACCCCGTGGACGTAAACCCCTTCCAGGTAGCGCCCCCCCCCCCCCACAGCCTCGCCCCCGGCGCCGAGGGCCGCCGCCCGGGCCTCCTTGGCCCGAGCCGAGAGACGTGGCGTCGGAGGAACGGGCCGCCCGCCCAATCGGGAGAGCGGGCTCTGAGCGCCGGCCTATCGCGGCGTCGCGGGGGCGGGACTAGCAGCAGGTGGCTCGGCCGAGGGGGCGGGGTTCTGCAGCCTGGGGAGCGAGCGGAGGGGGCGCAGCCTAAGTTCGCGGGAGCCCCCTCGCAAGGGACGGGCTCGTGGGGGGAGACGGGGACAGACGCCAGCAGGGGCCCAGCATCAGAGAGGCAGCATCTGAGCGGGTGGGGGGAGGCCTGGGGAGGCACTGGCCGCCGTCCCCGTCGGAGGTGGCGGCTGCGACATCCTGGGGAAGTGGAAGCCTCGAGAGGGATGGAGAAGTGGGGGCGGGGGGGATCCCGAGCCCCTTCGTCCCCAGCAGCCAGACTAGCCTGCAGAAGAGATAGGCGAGCTCCAGAGAGGTGTCAGGCGTGGAAGGACGGTCACGGTCACGAGGGAGAGGCCAGAGAACCCAGCTGACCCAGGTGACCTTGATAAGAATCCCACACCTGGCCCCGGGGTCTAGGGAGTGTTGGTTTGCTGGACTTGTGCCTGGTGGCCGGAGCTTGGGGAGATGCTGTCAGCCGGCCCCACCTTCTGAGCAGGATCAGAGGAGGAGACCCAGCGCCAACGCCTGTCTCCCTTTGCACAGAGAACGCGAGAGCCGGGGCCGGTACTTCCTCCTGGCGCCAAAGCTCGTTTTATGTCTGCCAAGAACCAGTTTGCATGGTTGCCCACCGGTGATTTGTGGGCCTGAGGTTGCTGCTCTGTCAAGGTGTCACCAGGCACCTGAGCTCGCCCTGCTTGTGTTCGAATTTGGTCCCTGGCGGCTCTTTAAAGTCCCCTGCTATAAATAAGAAGGGAAGCCCCTGGAGGGGTCCTTGCAGCTTCTCCCAGCTTGAATTCTTCCATCTTCGATCTTTGGAGGGTCAGAGCAGTGACTATGGAGACCAGAATGAAATAATCTCATGGATCAGGAAGGTGAAGGTTTTTTTCTTTGTTCTTTAGAATGTCAGGGAATTCTGAACGCACGTAACACACACACACACACACACACACACACCCTGGCTTAAACATCCACCCTGGCTTACACACCCGCCTTTCAGGTTACGGTTTATTGACAATCTTTGCAGAAACCTTGTCTTATCTAATGCAGTCAGTCATCTGTATTAGTTCTGTCAATAAGGACTATTTGCGTTTCTTTCTATCAGTGTCTTCTGCTGAGCGTTTTAACTGTAAAACTGCTGTCTAATACTGGAGCTGGAGTGAGGATCGAGAGGCCTTTTTTTAGTGTGTAGGCTGTGTGGTGATTTGCCTGTATTTCCTTAAATGTATTTTTCGCTCCTGTCAGAATCAGAGATAAAATGTTTAGTGCTACCTGACAGCCAGAGGCAGGCAGATGTCAGAAGGTGCAGAGAGCCTGTCCCAGTGCTAGCAGCAGGCAAGATAACTGGCCCGAACTGTGCCTTGAATTACTAGCAGCTTGAAAGTCTTCAACCGCATCAGCAGTCCCAGAAATGACAGTGAAGACACTGGGGAAGTCACTTCTGCATTCTAGCCAGATAGCCCGTCCATGCCCCAGGGCATGGCAGAACAGGAAGCAGCTGAGGTCCTGGATATAACAGCATCTGCTGGAGGGCCTGTGCAGGCTGGAGGGCTTGCTGAGTGCAACCCAGTTCCTCCATACCCTGCAGTTTTCTTCTTGGCACACAGTTGTGGGGAGAAGGGCTCACAGTTTGGCCGTGGGACCCCAAGCCCTCGTTCTTGGAGCTGCCCTCTCTCCCTGGGATGGCAGTGTCTGCCTCTCTGCCTGCCAGGGCTGGCTCATTGGGAGGGGTCAGCCCTCGGGTGACCGGCTGAGAGGGCAGCTTCATTTACCCAGGGTGTTGGCATGGCGTGCAGGAGAGCAGCTCTTCAGCTGCGGTGGGCGTGGAAGCCCGGCACCAGCCTTCCAAGAGGGGCTGTTCCGGTGAGACCACACCAGAAGTTCCACATCTGTGGTGAAAGACTAGAACAGGACACAGTCCACACATCTGTTCTGACCCTTCCATATAGAGATGGAGAAAGCAACAGCCCACGGAGGCTGGGACATGGCAGAGGCAGCAGGCAGGGCCCAGACCTGGCTCACATCCCCAGGACGGCGCTGTCTGGGCGCCTACTGTTAGAATCGGGCGTGTGTGGTCTGCCGGGGTTATTTTAGGATAACCAAGGAAAGCACCCCCAGTGACACCATATTTTTTTTGGACGAGGGCTTTGGGCCATACCCAGGGTTCTCATTACAAGTTTTCTCTGTATTGGTGGAAGAAATAAATTAGCATTAGCCAGTCTACTTTTACTGTGCACAGAGATGGAATATTAACAAATGGTGATGTGCCTGGGATTGAACCCAGGACCTTCATACTTGTGATGCATATGCTTCTTCATTGAGCCATATCTTTGTCTTGTATTCTGCTTTTTATTTTGATTGTATTTTGATTGTAGCCTGCCCACAGGGCAGAGTCTGGCAAACTCCCCTTGGCTTACCCAATATGCCAAATACCAGTAACAATGATGGGTCTCATTCTCCTAAAGAGCCTTGAATATAATCTCAGGGCTAGGTTGAAGGAGACGTTACTGGGGCCTGCTTGAGGCAATCGACGAATAACAGGATGATTTGTGATTTGTGTGATTTGTATTTATTTGGGAGAAGGTCTGGCCATACCCAGCACGATTCAGGGGCTATTCCTGGCTCTGCGCATAGAGATCACTCTTGTTATGTTCAGGGAACCGTTTATGGGGTGAGTGTGGAACGGGGGTCAGCCACTTGCAAGCCTGACCCCTGTCCTGTCTCCAGCCCCCGTACTGTCTTCTTAAAGTGACATCTCCTAAAGTGTTTGAGTCATACCAGTTCTGAAAGGTCGTCGGGTCTATGGTCAGTCAAGGTCCGGCATGTGGTTCAAGGGTAAAGCACATTCCTTGCATGCATGCGATTTGGGTTTGATCCCTGGCACCGCCAAAAACTTTTTTTTTTTTTAAGAACAGAATCATTGCTTAGTCCATTTTCCTTGAAGATATACAAATCAACCGTGTGCCTTCTAGCCAACTTCCTTGTCTGTGTTCTTTGCCCCACTCCACCAGCCTGCCACCTCCACTCCAATTTGTGGCACGACTTTTATGACCTCCTTCTTGCACGGGCTTCCCTTCAGGATTGTTAGAAAACTTCCTTCCCAGTAAGAGCTGAGGCTGGAAAGTGAAGTGGCCCTAGGTGTAGCCAGGGTGTGACCAACTCTTGGGAGGAAGCAGGAAACACACCCCGCAGTGTGGTCCTTTACACAACCTCCGCTGACACTCCCCAACCCTGCTGCCAACTGGGGCGTGTCTGCCCTGCACACTCCTGGTATGTGGGTCCCTATTCAGGACTGAGTCCAGCACGCTGCTTCCAAAGGATCTCCGAAAGTCTGGACCATTTCCTGTTTTAGTGACCCCCCTCAAACGGTGATGGGCCGGCCAATGCCAGAGCTGATTGGCTCCTGGGTGTCTGTGCCAGGTTATCCCATACAGATGGCCGGGGTCTTGAGGGCACGAGGACTGGCTGCAGGGCGTCTTGCCCTGTCTGTGAGCCACCCCATCCCATATGATGACTTGCACACGCTGCTCCCTTGCAGCTGAACGATAATCTCGGTGGGGAGGTTTTGAGATGCCGGGACTCCAGGCGTCTCTCCTGGATGTGCAGAAAGAGGTGGCCAAAACATGATCAGTCTTCTGCAGAATTACACCAAGTCTCTGGGCTGTGCCGTTTGCCAGGAAGGTGGCTGCAGTTGGCGGGAATGCCCAGCATCCCCAAACCTACCAAGGCCCAAGGTAAAGCTTTCCTGAGACAGGAACATCATCTCGCGAGATTGAAAACAGCAGGAGGTCCTTGCAGCTTACTCAGGGTTAGTAGGGTGTGGCCCAGACACCGGGACCTCTTGAGTCCCTGTCACATCACCAGGCCCCTGCCGCTCCTCAGCCTTGTCGGGACACTTGTTTGGCGAGTTTCTCTGAGAATCTTCTTTCTTGCCTATTTTTTGGGTTAATTTTTTTGGGGGGGCCACACCTGGCTGTGCTCAGGAGTCACTGTTGGCTGACCTCAGAGACCCAAGCGGTGGCAGGATGGAACCTGGTCCTCAGGTGTGCGGGCAAGGCGGCCACTCATGATCCCCGTCCCCGTTTCTTCTCCGCTGGAATGCTAGGGCCTTGCCCCCCCTCTGGCTTGTGTGTTTCAGGATATCCTGGAATTCAGTTTGTTTGGGGTCGTTGTTTGATTTTTTGTTTTGTTTTATTGGTCACACCTGGCGGTGCTCTGCACTCAGGTATCACTCTTGGGGGGGCTTGGAGGACCATGTGAGGTCCCGGGGACTGAGCTCTGAGCTTGCTGGACCATGTGTAAGGCAAGTACCTTGTATTATTGCTTTGTCTGGGAACTCAGTTCTTGCGGGGGGAGTGGGGAGGGGATACACCTGGCAATGCTCAGGGTTTATTCCTGGCACTGTGCTCAGAAATTACTCCTGGCAATTCGGGGGACCATGGAGGATGCCCGAGATGGAACCCGGGCCTGCCGTGTGCAAACCAAGCACCTTACCCGCTGTCGCTCTGGCCCTGGAGTTGGGCTCTTGAGCTCACTCTGTACCCTAGAGACTTGTAGCACTGCTCTGGGCCCACAGCACCTGCGGTCCCCGCCCAGGAGCTCTCCCATCCCCTTTCCCTGCGCTGCCCACCAGCGCTTCCAGCTTCCCAGCTGTCCCCACAGATCCTTCCTCTGGCCTCCCCCGTCTGACTCAGTGTCTTCTCAGCTCCTTCCCTGCTCCCACACACCCAGTCCTGAAAAACCTGTTTCCTTTCTGCCACAATCTTTTACCTGTTTCTTCTTTTTTTCTTTTCTTCCCCCCCCCCCCCCCCTTTTGGACTGATGCTGGGGATCGAACCCAGGGACAGACAGACGCTGGCTTCTGAGCCCCATCCCCAGCCCCTCGTGGTCACTTACTGTAAAGGCCCCTCGTGGCACTGTTCACCCTTCACCCCAGTCACTCCAGAGCCTCCCACTGTTCTCTGACCACCCGTAATGATCCTTTCTGTGTGTATATTTCGCTGGTGCCCTCTCTGTGCTCTAGCCCTGGCCTTGTGGTGTTGTTGTTTGTTTGAAGGCCGCATCCAGGGGTGCTTGTGGCTTACTCCTGGCTCTGCACTCAGGGGGTCATACATGGCATAGGGTGTCAAACCGGGCTGGCTTTGTGCAAAGCAAGTGCCTTAACCCCAATACTATCCCTCAGTCGCTCGGTGTTTTTAAAGGAGTCTGTTCTGCAGGAAGGTGGGGAGGGAGTGGAGGCAGAGAGAAAGGTGAAAGTGCTGGCTTTGCTTGGGGCCTGGCAGTTCTGTCCCTGGCAGGCACCGTGTCTGGTCCCCTGAGCATCACCAGGAATGATCCCTGAGTTCAGAGCCAGAAATAAGGCCTTTGCATGCCCAGGTGTGACTCAAAAAAAAAAAAAAAAGTCTCCTTCCTCCTTTCCTCCCTCCCCACACCAAGTAATGCTCAGGAACTACTCCTAACTTAGTGCTTAGAGGATCAAACCTGGGCCTCTTCATGCAAAGCTTTCAGCTCTAGCCCAAGAGTGTTGGGATTGTTTATGTTTTTTTTTTTTTTACCAGTTGTTTATAAAAGTCTGTTGAAACCATCAAGTTCAAGTTCAGCTAACTTTTATCTCCTGAGGATCCATTCAGGTGCCTTTCAAATAGTTCAGTAGCATGATTGCTACGATGCCCTGGATAATTCTCCACGGTGAGGGAAGATCTGTCTCCTTGTTCTCTGTCTGTAGCCAGCCTTGCTCTTCCTACGGGTGTGTTCTGGATGCAGTTCTTGCCTCTCCTTTCAGTCCTTGCTCAGTTCCTTCCGTGTCTCAGTCCCAGCTTGGCTCCAGCAGCACCTGCCTCTGGCTGTCTTGGCATCTTGTCCCTGTTGCCTTCGCCTCGTCAGCCGCTGTCACACCGTCGGGCCAGACTGTGACTTTACCTGGGTGTCCTGCCCTGTGCTGGGTAGGGGTAGTTTGTGTAGGGAGTGAACAGATGAACTGGAAGGAAATGGTAAGTGGCTGAGCCTGCATTGAGGACAGGAAGAGTCTTGGCAGGCCTCAAATGTCAGTCCAGGTCCTTTGAAAGCCATTTTTCTAGAGGATTCTGGACATCACTACAGTGATGTCCATGGCTCTCTTTAGAAATAAATGTCAAAGGGCCGGAGTGGTGTGTTATGCTGGTTTGATCCCCCGCATCCCATGTGGTCCCCCGAGCACCACCAGTTGTAATTCCTGAGTGCAGAGCCAGGAATAACTCCTAAGCATCACCGGGTGTGGTCTAAAAATAAAAATAAAGGTTGAGGAGCACAGAGCCAGGAGTACGCCCTGAGCAATGCTGGGTGTGGCATAAAATCTGAAAATAAAATAAAACAAATGTTGAGGGCTGGGAAGATGTTTCACGTGGCAGAACACATCCCTTGGCTGTGCAGGCTAATGAGTTCGAGCCCAGCATCATGGGCCAGCACTGAATAGTGGCACCCAGAAGACTTCATCACATGGTCCTTGAGCACTGTATCAGGAGTAGCACCCAGTATTGTTGGACATGGCCCCAAACAGAATTTTTTTTTTGCTTTTTTTGGGGAGGTCACACCCAGCGATGCACAGGGGTAACTCCTGGCTCTGCGCTCAGGAATTACCCCTGGCGGTGCTCAGGGGACCATATGGGATGCTGGGAATTAAACTCGGGTTGGCCATGTGCAAGGCAAACGCCCTACCCGCTGTGCTATTGCTCCAGCCCCTTTTGTTTTCTTTTTTCCTTTTTCTTTTTTCTTTTTTTTTTTGTGGAGGGGACCACGACCAGCAGAGCTGGGGTGCTGGTTCCATTTTCTGGGGTCCCTACTGGTAGAAGCCGACTGGTGAAGTGTCGCAGATGGAACCCAGGCTCTTCATGCCAACTGTGGACAGCAGAAGGGCAGCGGCCAAACCCCAATTGTCTTGGTGTGTCCCCTACACTGTGCGTGACTGTTTGCCGAGTGACCAGAGCTCAGCCGTGACACTGTCTGTGTTAGAGTTGGCGGAAGGCCTGATCCGCTCTCCTCTGAGCGTGGGGAGAAGGGGGAGGAGGAAGAAAGGAGGAGGAGGGGGGAGGGGGGGAGGAGGAAGGTATTAGTTTTCTTCTTGGAGCTGAAACTGAGCTCTTCCCTTCCTTTGAAATGCTTGCGTGACCCACTTACAGAGCCCACAGCTGCTCCTGTATTCCCACTGCGACTCGGAACCCGGCCCTCTCTGGCTAGCTGCGTGGACTTTTCTCACAGGCCCCATGTGTGGCCTGCCTGGGGGATTTCCTCCTCGGGAACGCGCTCTCTGTAGTCTGGGGACAAAGAAAGACACAGGAGCAGCCGCCTGATCGCACAGCCCTTTTCAGGGATGTTGCTCTCCGTTCCTGGTGTTGGGATGCGCAACACACCCCTTGGCACTTTGTCCATGTGACAGGAGCTTCTGGGCTGGGAAGCCCACATTGCTGCCTCCTGGGAAGGCGGGGAGGGCCGCAGAGGGAGAGGCCAGGCGTCACCCGGAGTGACCAGTCATCACCCTGAGTGACCCCAAGGCCCGGAGCCCCACTGGCTGTGGCCCCTTTAAAAATTAAAGAGCCTTGGGGCTGGAGCAATAGCACAGCGGGTAGGGCGTTTGCCTTGCACGCGGCCGACCCGGGCTTGATTCCCAGCATCCCATATGGTCCCCCGAGCACTGCCAGAAGTGATTCCTGAGTGCAGAGCCAGGGGTCAGCCCTGAGCATTGCTGGGTGTGACCCAAAAAAAAAAAATTAAAGAGACTTGGGGTTGGAGTGATAGTACAGCAGGAAAAGGACTTATCTTTTTTTTTCTAATTTACCTTTATAAAGTTATTCGTGATGATTCATTACATTCAGTATTCCAACACCAGTCCCACCACCGTTATTTCCAGTTTTCCCAACCACAAGCCTGCCCCTATAGCAAGCCCTGGATAATTTATTTTGTATTGATAGTTATAAAAAATTCGCTTAAAATGGTCAAAAATATTTCCTTAGAAGGAAGTGTGTGAATATTGTTGTGTCTTACCATGGGCCACAATGCCCTTGTATAGGAGATTACTAACGTGTTGTCATAAGTTAAGCCTTGTGTGTTCATATTCTCTTAATTGAGATTGGGTGTCTTCTGCTTTACATCCCATCCAATGTGATGTGTGACTCCTGGTTATCAGTGGTGTCGAGTGTGACATGTCACATGGACCATGTGCTAGGGCGCTTATCTTGGCACACGGTCAACCCAAGTGCCATCCCTGGCACCCCACCGCCCATCAGGAGTGATTCTTTTTTTTTTTTTTTTTTTTTTGCTTTTTGGGTCACACCTGACGATGCACATACACAGGGGTTACTCCTGGCTCTGCACTCAGGAATCACTCCTGGCGGTGCTCAGGGGCCCATGGGATGCTGGGAATCGAACCCGGGTTGGCCGCGTGCAGGGCAAACGCCCTACCCGCTATGCTATCGTTCCAGCCCCACCATCAGGAGTGATTCTGAGTGCCGAGTCACGAGTAAGTTCTGAGCACTGCCAGGTGTGAGCCAAAAACATATATATGCAATGATAATAGAAATAAAAGAGAAGCAGCTCAGGGAGGCTGCTTGGGCGAAGATGCAGGGCCCCGGCTGCCGGCCGAGATCCACTGGAAGAGGAACTGAGGACCCCGGGAAGGGCTGTGGTCCGAGCACGTTGTTTCATTTATTTGAAAAGGGTCCAGAAAGGAAAACAAGCCAGCAGCGTTTTCCTGCCTTTCAGTGGGCGCTCAGCCTCATTCCTAGCAGGTGTGTCTGGTTGCATCGACTTAGTCCTGGCAGCCGGCAGCCTGCTGTAAAGGACCCTCTAAGAGAAATCAGAGGGATCAGTGCTGTCTGTAAAACAGTCAGAAAAGCAGCACCAAGTTTCTCAAGCCTCCACACACACCACCCTCTCTCCCCCCTTTGAAAACTGGAGCCCGGGAGCGCACTCCCTTGAGGTAAAAGCATAGGTCTCATCCAGAATGCCCCTTCTTTCCCAACAAGGGGAAGGAGAGCAGCCCGCTGCAGCCTGGGTGGGCACACCCAGGACCTTCCACTGAGGCTCCCCAGGGCACCAGTGGCGATGCCAGCAGCCTCTTGAGCACCCGCGTCCCTGGTATCACCGCTGGGCCTGGGGCGGGCCAGCTGAGCTGACCACGGTTCTCTGCTTTCCAGCTAATGGCTCTTTTCACCCCCCCAGGATCCATCTGTGACCCAGCTGACCAATGCCCCGCAGGGCGGCCTCTCTGAATTCAACCCTTTCTCCGAGGTGGGTGAGCACGCCCTACTCCCGGGTCCCCTGTCTCCGGGCAGGCCCGGGGTCTCTGCAAAGCTGCAGTCCCCAAAGGGATGGTTCTGTTGTGGACTGGGGTAAAGGGTGAGGATGAGAAGTCATTGATTCTTCCTTTGGGCCCTCCCTGACGAGGGCAAGCGATACCCACGAGCTCTGGGTCCAGTAAGCCAGTGGTGCCTGCTCACCTGGGCTGGCTGGCCCGGCGCTGCAGAGGGAGTCCAGAAGGTGGGCTGTCATTCACCTGCTGCCATCTAGCCTACGCCCACTCACTTCCCTCCTTTGCCCCGCCCCTCACAGACAAATGCAGCAACAACGGTTCCTGTCACACAGCTCCCTGGACCCTCGCAACCTGCTGTGCTCCAGGCCTCTGTGGAACCAACCCAGCCAAGCCCCCAGGTAGCATTGGAAAACAGCCCTTTGGCACCTTTGGCACCTCTAATGTTTCTAGGGAAACATCCCCAACGGTGGAAGCCTGAGCTGGGGGGAGAGGGCAGGAGGGCACAGAGCCTTATACGCCCTGGCACTTCTTTAGGGCCCCCCTTGCTCATCTCTTTGGTGCTGAAATGAAACTCACAGAGTTGAAGGTCTCAGCCCCCAGCCCACTACCACCACCAAAAGTTAGGCTGGGCCTGTGCTCTTCAGAGCACATTTACCTCTGTCATGCCATTCAGGTCCCAGCTGGGGGCTTTGGTTTATTCTTTCAGACCCCAGGATCTAGCCACCTACCCACCTGTCTGTATTCCTACCCACCATCCACTCCCTGACCTCTTTACCCATTCATCCACCCATCCATTCACCTTTCAACCCACCCACTTGTCCATCTATCCCTTACTTATCCATCTCTCTACCATCCTTCTGTTTATCCGTCATCCCATGCATCAGCCATCATCCATCCATCCATCCATCCACCTACCCATATGCACAGACATCCACCCACTCATCCATCCACCCTTTTAACCATCTATCCATCCACCCATCCATCCATCCATCCATCCATCCATCCATCCATCCATCCACCTGTCCATATATCCCATCCATCCATCCATCCCTCCATCCATCCATCCATCTCTTCATCCATCCACCCACCCACCCACCTGTCCATATATCTATCCATCCATCCATTCATCCATCCATCCATCTACCCACCTGTCCATATATCCATCCATCCATCCATCCATCCATCCATCCATCCACTCCCTTCCATATATTCATCCATCCATCCATCCACCCACCCACCCACCTGTCCATATATCCATCCATCCATCCATCCACCCACCCACCTGTCCATATATCCATCCATGTATCCATCCATCCATCCATCCGTCCGTCCGTCCACCATCCGTCTATTCTTCCATCTACCCATTCATCCATCCACCTTCCCATCCACTTGCCCACCCATCCAGCTATCTTCCTGCCTATATCTTTTTCTGTCTAACCCCTTCACCAGACACTCGGGGTTTTGTCTGCACTGCTCTCCACCACCGGCTTTCCTTGCCCCCGTTCCTTGCTGGCCCTGCGGGTGCATGACCACAGTGGAGTTGTATATTACAGCTTCTTAGGCAGGCCAGCAAATTCCTGCCTGTCCGGTTCCTGGCAGTGAGCGGGCTCTCGGAGAGGCAGAGGCTGTTAGGAGGGACAATGTTCTCAGAGACAGCTGCATGCAGAAGCATTCAAAAGTAGGCAAAACTGCAGCAAGAACCAGCACCTGGTGCCTGGAGCCTGCCCACGCTGCATCAGCACTCCAGGGAGTCCCAGGCAGCTCCCGCTAAGGGTCTGTGATGGGGCTACATGTCCAGGCCTGCTCTGAACGTGCTATTCCTCCATGGCCATAGGGCCCTGTGAAGAGTGGCACGCTTCTGGGCAGCAGCCTTTCTTACTCGGCTGGGGCTGAAGTAATAGCCTTGGACAGGGCAGTTGAGCCCCTCAGTGTGGTAGGGAGAGCGGTCAGTCCTGGGGCCACCTCTGCCCTGATGCCGGGTCTTCCTTCAGGAGGCTCCCATGGCTCTTTGGAGAAGGTGGTCTGCAGATGTGCGCGTAGGCCTGGCCCTCCCCAGGCCCCAAGAGCAGGGCCCCTAGGTGGAAGGCCAGCCCAGACCAAGCTCTGCCCAGCCTCACCATTGTTTCCAGCTGCCTACCCAGAGCCCTGCTCTGCCTGGGGAAGCTCGGACTCTGCACACCTGTGAGCACTGGGCCGAGTAGGCCGAGCTTGAGGGGCTGTCCCGGTGCATCCACCACAGTGCCGGTTTGCCCCAGGCCCCCGTCCCCCTGAGGCTCCAGTCTAGCCGGTCCACTCTCCCCACTTGGTGCTAGAAGATCATCTCCTCCACATCTTCAGGCTCTTCCATAAGGCGCTGGGTTTCTGTCTGGCCCAGTCTCCTGGGAGCTCCCGCTTTGCCCTTCGCCCTGAGTCCCCACCCCCGAACTCTTGCCAGGTCTAGCTGTGCTGTCTCCGGTGCAGAAGTAAAGGAGAAACGGGCCCCCGTACAGCTGAGCGTCCAGCAGTGCTGTGGACATAGGACACAGGTCCCCTTGGTCTCCCTGTGGTGGTCTCCAGTCCCCTGACCCAGGGGTCTGGGACGCCACACGGGGGCAGGACCCCTCTGACTTCCCTCTGGTCTCGTGTCTGGCCGCCCCCTCCAGGCTGTGGCCTCAGCGGCCCAGGCCAGCCTGCTGCGGCAGCAGGAGGAACTGGACAGGAAGGCCGCGGAGCTGGAGCGGAAGGAGCGGGAGCTGCAGAACACGGCGGCCAACCTGCATGGTGAGCGCCGGCTCGGGGCGCAGAGGCACGCTGGGTCTGTCCCGGGGGCGGGGAGGAAGGAGGGCGAGGGGGCCAGCGGCAGCTTCTGCATTGCCTTGGAAACGGGCGCCGGGGGTCCTGGACCATGATTCTCCACCCCTGAGATTGACCCCGGGTACCACAGACTCACTGGGGGGCCAGGGATGGAGATGCCACCCGCGGGCTGCAGCACTGGCTCTGAGTTGCGGGGAGGGTCCGGGTTCTATCTCCAGCACCTCATGGTCCCCTGAGCACCACAGGGTGTGGCCCCCAACAAAGCAAGGCAAAAATTATCACGGAGAGGCCTCAGTGTTCGGGTGCAGGCCTTGCCTGTGACAGGTTTGAGTCCACTCCCTGGTACTGCCCTGCCAAGTCCTTTCCCCAGCCACAGCTGCAAAGTGTGGGACCCCCACCCCACCCCACCCCACCCCACCCCACCGCTGTCTCGTCAGCAGTCTCTTTCCCGGCTTATTCGGGGTGGATTCTCTTGGCATGAGCGTGTGGGGGAGTCTCTTCGTGACCAGTCCCTTGCCCAGCCCAGCCCCAAAGACTCCGAGCCGCCAGTTACTGTCATCTCTCAGCGCGCCTCGGTCAGGCCCGTAACCTGGCCCGCTTGTGTCCTTGGCCCCTGGCCATGCTGCTGCCCAGGCTGGCCTCACCTGCTTCCTCTTCCCACACAGTGAGGGAGAACAACTGGCCACCCCTGCCCTCCTGGTGCCCGGTCAAGCCCTGCTTCTACCAGGACTTCTCCACGGAGATCCCGGCCGACTACCAGCGCATCTGCAAGATGCTTTACTATCTCTGGATGCGTGAGTCCTGCAGGCGCTCCCGGGGGTGGGCGGCCAGGGTGGGCACCGTCTGGGCTCAGGCTGCTTCTCCCAGTGCACACACATGTCCATGCCTCTCCGCAGTGCTGGGGTGAGGGACCCGCAACCCCCACGACTGGCCTTTTCCCTGCCCTGGGTTCTCTGCAGAGGGCAGAGCAGGCCGTGTTGGGGGCGGGGGAGGAGTTCCTGTGGAGCTGACTGCACTAACGGGCCTCTGAGGTGCGGTCCCTGCAGTGCCTCTCGGCTTGGGACAGAGAGGATGGAAGGCTCGGGTTGGGGCTGGAGAGGGAGGACAGGAGGTGAGGGATCTGCCGCGTGCTCAGCTGTGGCAGCCGCAGCCCTGATGCAGATCCTGGCACTGAGCGTCATCCCCAGGGCACTGCCTGAGCACAGGGCCGCAATAGCCTCTGAGCACTGCCAGGTGTACCCCGAAGCCCCCAGCCCACAAATGGCTTCAGCTTCCTCTGTGGTCCTCCAGGGCCAGGGAGGAGCTGTCCAGGGCAGGAACACGATTCTGGAAACCTGCCCTGGTGTGTGTGCTGTCAGCTCTGGAACTAAGCCTGTGCCCTGGGTTGGAGGCGCCCCCAAAGCCAGGGTTTGAGAGCGCCCTGCCAAGGTACCGAGCAGACAAGGTGCTCTTCTGTCTCCGGGAGAGCCCAGTGGCACCCTCGCTGTGGGGGTTGTGTGGAGGGGTGTCGCCTGCCGCTCTGCGCCAGCCCAGCCCTTTCTCCGTCCCCAGTGCACTCGGTGACTCTGTTTCTGAACCTCCTGGCCTGCCTCGCCTGGTTCTTGGTGGACACCGGCAAGGGGGTAGACTTCGGCCTCTCGATCCTGTGGTTCATCATCTTCACCCCCTGTGCCTTCCTGTGTTGGTACCGACCCATCTACAAGGCCTTCAGGTGAGTGGGGGTCAGGGGTGAGTGCACAGCCACGGGCCAGACTCCCGGGGGTCCCATCCGAGTGTCTGCCGGGCATGTGCTCTTGCCCGTTCGTCCCTGGAAGGGGTGGGCGGTGAGCCCTTTGCCTCCTCTCTTGGGCCTGAGATCTGCTCCGGGAGTGGGCACTGGAGCTGGTCAGAGCCACCCGTGATGGTCAGAGCTCTGAGCTGTCCCTGAGTGGCAGAATCGCACCAGTGACCTAGACTAGAAAGCGAAGTGTTTTATTTTCGTTCATGTTTGTTGGTGATGCTGGGGAGTGAGTCCAGGCATGTGCTTCCCCGCTGAGCCACACCTTTGACTCTATTTTTTGGGGATTTTTTTTTTTTTTTTTTTTTTGCTACACGTGGCTTGTCTGAGGGATCCTGTGGTGCCTAGGATGGAGCCTGAAGCTTCCCCAGGCTTGTGCTCAGGCCCGTGAAGCATCCCCCGACCTGATCCCATGAACATCAGTGGGTCTCTCACAGACCCCCTTGGGCCTTGAAAATTAGTTGTGCCTCAGCATTAATGCTTCCAGGAAGAGGCCGCAGCTGGACCCTGTGACCATGTCACAGGCAGGCCTACACCCTGAGTTAGCCCTCAAGGATGCGGCACAGAGACGGCTTGTGTTCCTTACACCTCAGTATGTTTTTTGTCCCCTAGGCCTGTGGTCTTAGTAAGAATTTTAAAAGGCTTTGACTCAGATTGTCTTGTCTGTTATGAGTGCAGATAAGTACGAGAAGGCAGGATGGGTGCAGGACAACCTTATCATCTGTGTAAGGATGGGCTCAGACATTGGCCCCAGGCTGGGGATGTGGTTCAGGGGTAAAGCCCCATACTCAGCACCACATGGCGCTTCCGACCTCCCCCCTCCACCCCCGGTACCAGGTGTACCCATGGTGGCCCCCAGCATTGCCAGGTGACACCCCCCACACACACACCAGCACCACCACAGAAATACTGACCCCTTCCATTGTGAGGCAGAGCAGGGCAAGTCCTTTATGCTGATGGCCGTGGGCATCTGCGCCTGAGTGCATGGGGGTGAGAGGCTGGTCCCCGGCCATGTGCTCTGTCCTACCTCCAGGGGACGAGAGTCTCTCCCGAGCCCTCCGTGACTTCTGTCTCCCTCTCTCCACAGGTCCGACAACTCCTTCAGCTTCTTTGTGTTCTTTTTCATATTTTTTTGTCAAATAGGCATCTATATCATCCAGATGGTCGGTATCCCTGGCCTGGGGGACAGGTGAGGCCTGGGCTGTGCTCTGGGAATGCAGCCTTGGTGGGGCAGGGAGTGGGGCTCCCCGCAGGGCAGCGCCTTCAGGTCTCTGCTCTGGGCCTTGACCCAGAGCTGCTGCTCTCTTCCCTCTGGGAGCCGTGGGTGAACGCACCCTTCACCCTCTGCTGCCCTGTGTGGGACAGTGCCTCTCCCATTCCTCACGTCCTTGTAGAGGCGGCTCCTGGGGTCTGGGCCGCTGCTGGGGGCTGCCTTGGCCTTTGCAGACCTTCCTGGGCCATGGCTTTTTTGGAGGCATTTTGTGCTTCAGGCGGGGAGGGGGGCATCCCGACAGCTGCTCCCAGACTGACTCTCAAGCATGTCATTAGTTTTGTTTCCCAGGAAGGTGCTGCTGTCCTCACCTCACCTGTGCCCCCGTGCCCAGGGCCTGTTTCAGAAAGGCCAGGTTGCCCCTGGCCTGGCAGGGGCGCCTGTTTTGATCCCTGCCCCGTACTAGAGCCGGCAGTGTTGACGGGGGGAGCAGCCCCTGGCACCTCCAACCAGTGCACGCTACCCCCACCCCCACCCCCCACCCCAGCTCTCTTTCTCCTCACCTTGCTCTTAATTTCTTTTGGTTTTGTTTTTGCTTTGTTTTGTTTTTGGACTATACCCTGTGGCTCTCAGGACTGACCCCTAACTCTGCACTCAGAGATCACTCCTGGTCGGACTCAGGAGATGAGGGGCTGGAGCGATAGTTCAACAGGGAGGGTGTTCGCCTTGCATGGGGCCAACCCAGGTCCGATTCCCAGCATCCCGTATGGTCCCCTGAGCACCTGAGTGCAGAGCCAGGAATAACCCCTGAGCATCACCAGGTGTGACCTAAAAATAAATAAAGGACTCAGGAGATGATACAGGGTGCTCATCTATGATGGAACCCGGGTCAGCCATGTACAAGGCAAACACCCCACCCACTGTACTTTTTTTTTTTTTGACTTTTTGTTTTTTTGGGTCACACCCGGTGAGGCACAGAGGTTACTCCTGGCTCTGCACTCAGGAGTTACTCCTGGCGGTGCTCGGGGGACCTTATGGGATGCTGGGAATCGAACCCTGGTTGGCCGCATGCAAGGCAAACGCCCTACCCTCTGTGCTATCGCTCCAGCCCCCCACCCCACTGTATTCTTGCTCTGGTCCCTCACCTTGCTCTTTTGGGGCTTTGCTCTTTGACCGATGACCCCCTTTAATTTCTCACTATCCTAAGCGAGGTCTCGGAGGAAAGCTTGTGATGAAGAACTGCTGTTTGGGCCCTGCACCGGGAGTGCTAAGGCTTTCCCTTCTTTGCCCTTTCTTGTCATTGCTACATCTAGCCATGCTCGGGGGCTGTTCCTGGTTCTGCACTCAGAGGCCACTCCTGGTGGGGACCCTCTGGGGTGCTGAGGATCTGACCAAAGTGGGCTACTTTGGTCATGTGCACATCATCTTGCCCTTGTGTCATCGCCCCACTGACAACTGAGACCCCCGGCTTCAGCTTTGCTCCCTCTCGGTCCCGCCTCAGTCCAGCCAGCAGTGTTCTGCTCCCTCATAACACCAAGTGGAGGAGAATATAGCAACACTTTTTGTGCTATATTCTTTTGTTATTGTTAATGAAATATATACAACATAACCTCGTATTATTTAACACTTCAGAGCCAGAGTGGTAGTACAGCTTCTAGGGTGTTTGCCTTGCACGTGGCCAGCCCGGGTTCAATCCCTGGCACCTTATATGGGCCCCTGAATCTGCCAGGAGCGATCTCTGAGCGCACAGCCAGGAATAAGCCCTGAACACTGCTGGTTGTGGTCCAAAACAGTACCACCAAAAATAACATTTTAGCCCTTTGCACGTAGACAGTCTAGCTTCGTGTCTACCATTCACATGATCCAGTTCAGTACACTCATAGTGTTTGGCAGTCATCATAATCCCGACCAGGAGCCGATGGCGTTCTGTGTCTGATTTACCTATTCCAGATTATTCTAGATGTTTCCTACAAGTAGAGTCAGTACAGCTTTTGCCTTTTTGTATCTGGCTTCTTGAATTTAGTGTAATATCCCTCCGCCCCCCCGCCCCCCCTTTTTCTAGACCACACCCAACAGTGCTCCAGGCTTACTCCTGGCTCTGCACTCAGGGATCACTGCTGGGAGCACTTGGAGGACCATGACGGTGCCCAGTTTGACTGCCTGCAAGACAAGCTCCCTGCCCTGTGTTACCCCTCTGGTCCCTAATTTGGATTTTCTTTTGGGGGTGGGTTTTGGGCCACCCTCAGGACATGCTTAAGGGCTACTTCTGGTGGCTAGGGGAACTGTCCATGATGCCAGAAATCGAACCAGGGTTGACCACGTGCAGGCAAGACCCTTACTCCTGTGCTCTCTCTCTCCAGCCCCAGTTTGTTTTATTTCATTTTGTTTCGCACTACTCCTGGCAGTGCTCTTGAGTCTCACTCCTGTTACTGTGCTCAGGGATCATTCCTGGGAGGGTGCTTGGGACCCAATCCGATGCCAGGGATCAAACCTGGGTGGCCACATGCTTGGCAGGCACCTTAACAGCTGTATTATTTCTCTGGCCTCCATTCATTTTTTAAGTAAAATAGTTCAATTTAGGAAATACAAGAGGAAAGAAAGAGAGCCCTGTACAAGAAGAGAATTGACACCCCAGACTGTGCTAGTGACCTGAGAATGGCCTGGGTGGGGGCGTGCCTGAGACCTGCAGTGGGGTGCGGTGGGGGCGGCTTCTCCCCAAGGCAGCCCATTTTTCATGCACCCGAGCCCAGAAACGGGGCAGACTCCGGTTCCCACAGGCAGAGCAGGGCACTCACAGCCCCTGGAGTCCTGGCCTACAGGGGTTGGGGGTGTGGGCCCAGGAGAAGAGCCCCTCCTGGGGGTTACACCCACTCCTCCCTCTTCTCCTGTCCCTGCAGTGGTTGGATCGCAGCCCTGTCCATCGTGAAGACGGACCTGGCCGTGTCCATCATCATGATGGTGGTGGCCAGCTTCTTCACCCTCTGTGCCGTGCTCTCGCTCTTCCTGCTGAAGCGGGTGAGTGGTGCCATCCAAGGCGAATCCCACCTGGGTCCCTCGAAGTCCAGTGGACTTTCCCCAAGCCTCTGGGTGGGCGGTCAGGCAGTGCGAGGTTCCCGGCGGACCTTGAGGGGGGCAGTAGCCAGGGGGGCTCCTCTCACTCCTTACCCCTCCCCCACCCCCAGGTGCACTCGCTGTACCGCAGGACCGGGGCCAGCTTCCAGCAGGCCCAGGAGGAGTTCTCCCAGGGCATCTTCAGCAGCAGGACCTTCCGCAGCACCGCCTCGTCGGCTGCCCGAGGCGCCTTCCAGGGGAACTAGGCCTCCAGGGCGCCGCCTCCACCCAGCCTCCTCTCACCTGCCTTCTGAGCTGCACTTTGCATGGGTGCCTTAAGCAGGGGTTCAGCCCGGTACAGACCCCAGGCGGATCTGGCTGTGGCTCTTGCTCCTTCCTCAGCAGCCGCCTTTCCCTTCCGCCCAAGGGAGTGGGAGGGAGGGACTGGCACTTGTTGTCCACAAGAGAGAAGAAAAAAAACGAAGCTGTCTTTCCTCTTCTGGTGGCAGTTCGGTATGGTAGGGTCCTTTTGTCTCTCTGAAAGCAGTGGGACTAAGCTCCCCCCAGTACACACATCACACATGTGCACGCTCACACTCACACACACACACACACACACACACACACACATACATACTCAGATCCCTGGCTGACCTGGGTCCACCCAGCCGGTGTTTTTATTTTGTTGATTCTGGGGACACACCTGGCAGCGGTGCTCAGGGGCTACTCCCAGTGGTGCTCGGGGACCAAGCAGTGCCGAGGATCAACGCAGGCTTCCCATAGCTGTGCTCCAGGCCTTTGAGCTCTTGGAGTTTTATCTTCACCCAGGTCTTGGGACTGTGCTCATTGCCCAGCTGGTCTGGCCTCACCTGAATTTGACTGCACAGACCCAGCCTGTGGTGTCAGCAGCGGCCCCACTTCCTGCCCAGCCTGGAAGGATGCGCAGGAAGGGCATCCCTTTAGGAGAGCCGTCGTGGGCCTGCGGCCAGCTCTGTCTCCGCTCACCCTCTCCGTCTCTGGGCTCACGCTGGTCCCCCAGGCGCTTCCCTGCCTGTGTTTCTTATACACAGACTGGATCCCCCGACTCCCTCCCCCCAGCCCCACTGAGCAGGGCCTGTGCCTGCTGAGCCCTCCTTGAGCCCCTCTGCCCTTCCCTCCTTAGACTTACTGAATGTGCAATGGGATCTTTTGGGATCGGGGGAAGGGAGGGTAGGCAGATTGTTGCCTGTCGTCTGTTGTCTTACACAGCCTTTGACAGCCTTCTTGAAAGGTGAGGTCTGACCTGGGGTGGTTGGTTTGGCCTGTTCCCTTGTGTCCTGGGGGTGCGGGCTGTCATTTGTCTGGCCTCGGGTACCCCCCTCCGCCCATTACCTACCTTGTATGAGGCGTCAGAACATGGGAATCAGTCCAGAAGTACTTCCTTTAGCTGGAACTGATGGGCCCCCACTTTCTGAGGGCTCCAGCCTAGTACTCCAGCCCCACTCAGTTGAGTGTTTGTCACCTACTGGTCTAGGGTTCCCCCAGAGGTTGTGTTACTGCCATGTGGCCTCGGTTCCCAGACCCTGTCTCCCAAGAACCAAGGGGCCTTCTCAAAAAAGCCAGCCAGCCTCCTCCTTCCCTAGGCCCCCAGACCTTCGAGGCTGCTGGTCCGCCCGCCCTGAGCCACTGAAGGTGAACGGCAGTGACCAAGGTTTTATAAATCCTTCTGGTGTTCTCCATGTACAAATGTATATGTTATGTCTCAATATTTGTGCTTAAATAAAGACATTTTAGACGCACTTGTCCGAAGTCTGGTCTACTTGGGAGAACGGGGGTGGCCCATGGGGGAGGGGCAGGGGGAGTGGTGACAAGGGGCCAGCCACTGAGAGGGAACACTGAAGATGCTGTAGCTGACACCCCCTCTCCAGCTGCTCAGTGACTCGGCCTTAACCTGGGGTGAGCACCGGAAAACAACACAACCTGGCTGCTTAAAAATGCCTTTTTTTTTTTTTTGGTGGGTGTGGGTGGGTGTTGGGCCGCACCTGGTGATGCTGGGGACTTGGTCCTGACAGGGCTTAGGAGGACCACATATGATGTGGGGGTGAGGATAGGCGGGTTCCTGGGCCACCAAGCCCTTAACCCCTTAACTCCCGTACGATCTCGCCATCCCCAAGGGCTTTTTCTGTTCCTGATACCACTGCTTTTCAGAGCAGCTGGTACCGGGGCATGGGGCTCGGTGGTGAAAGGTGGGGGCGGGGGGGCGCTCAGCAGGGCTGCTCTTTACACCCTCATCCCCAAACCTCGGTTCTCTAAGGGACCGTTCTCCGGAGGCGATCGCGTCCATCCGCGGGGCTCGACCCACTTTGGCGGGGGAGGGGCGGCTGCACCTGGCGCACCTGGCGCACCTGGCGCACCTGGCGGGCGCGCTGCAGTGCCGGCGGGCGGCGCTGGGGGCGCTGTGGGGCCGGCGGCCGCCCGGGCCGGAAGCGGGCCGGGAAGCCGGAAGCGCGGGGCGGCCGGGATGGCGGCGCCGGGCTGGGGGCCGCCGCGCGTGGACGGCTTCGTCCTCACCGAGCGCCTGGGCAGCGGCACCTATGCCACGGTGTACAAGGCCTACGCCAAGGTGGGTGCGGGGCAGGGGCCCGCGCGCAGCTGGGGGGTCGCGGCGGCCTGGACGCGGCCGCGCGCCCGGGGGCGTCCCGAGCGGTCGCGGTCACCGCCCGGCCAGTGCCCGGACGACTAGTCGGACCCGGGAGCGGGTCCAGGCCGGGGGTGGCCCCTGCGTGCAGAATCGGGAGTGGCCGCAGAGCAGAGCGTTTCCGGGCGTGGCCCTGACCCAGCAGCCAGCCGGGGTTACCTGGGGGCAGGGAGGGGGCGCCGGGGGCCGCGGTCCAGAAGGGGACACCGGACAGCAAGCAGAGTGGGCAGCTCCAGAAGGCCGGGGGCTGCAGAACGCCGCGTCCAGGGTCCCGGAGCCGAGGCCGGGAGGACCCCGAGGCGGGGTGGGGCGGCGTGATTCCAGCACCCCGGGCCTCGCTGGCCTGGGAAAGGGTGCTGGCCGACCTGGGGGTATGCTTCGATTCAGCGAAGGGGAGAAGCACCTGGAGCCCCCTTTTCACCGGAGCCCTGGCCCCATGGCACCCAGAAAGGCTCTGTGGGCCGGACACTCGCTGGCCTTGGGTGCAGGAGGCGGGGTTTGATCACCAGCATTGCAGAGTCCCCTGAGCATTGCCCGGAGCATTGCAGACCCCAGCACTGTCGGGTTTGGCCCCCAAAACAAAACAACTGTAAGCACTGCACTCTCCTAGGTTGTTCATCGATTTTGCTCGAGCGGGCCCAGTAACGTCTCCATTGTGAGACTTGTGGTTACTGTGTTTGGCATATTGAAGATGCCATGGGTAGCTTGCCAGGCTCTGCCGTGTGGGCGAGATGCTCTCGGTAGCTTGCTGGGCTCTCCGAGAGGGGTGGGGGAATCGAACCTGGCTCGGCCGGGCTGGCTGCATGCAAGGCAAATGCCCTGCCGCTGTGCTATCAGCAATCTAAAAAAAAAAAAATTCCTACAGAAGGACACTCGAGAAGTGGTGGCCATCAAGTGCGTGGCCAAGAAGAGTCTGAACAAGGCGTCTGTGGAAAACCTCCTGACGGAGATTGAGATCCTCAAGGGCATTCAGCACCCTCACATCGTGCAGCTGAAAGACTTCCAGGTGGGGAGCGGGGGCAGGGGCCAGCCCAAGGGGCCAGGAGAAGGGGCGCGAGGCCACAGCACCCCATCTCCCCTCTCCGGCAGTGGGACAGCGACAACATCTACCTCATCATGGAGTTCTGCGCGGGGGGCGACCTGTCCCGCTTCATCCACACCCGCAGGATCCTGCCCGAGAAGGTGGCTCGCGTGTTCCTGCAGCAGCTGGGTAAAGACTCCCCACCAGCCTGCCCCCTGCCCGGGCTCTGCCCCTCCCCCTCCCCACACACACTGCCAGCCCTGGAGCTCTGAGAACACTCGGCCACCCCGGCCTGGGGTGCTGGAGCCCCATCATTGCGTGTGTCCAGCCTGGACGTAGAGACTGAGGGATGGGAGGAAGGCCCCTCCTCTTCCCCCACACGGTGCTCATCAGTACCCAGGGCCCAGGGGATGAGGACTCAGCCTCCCCCAGCACTGAACCAAGAAAAAGAACAAGAGCCTAAAGGACTGAGACGTGCAGACAGGCCTCACAGAAGAGGGGGTGCTGTCTACCGGGCCCAGAAAGGAAGAGAGCACCGAGCAGGGGAGCGGGGAGCAAATTCTCAGGAGTGGTGGGAGCCTGTACTCGCTTCTGAGTCCTTGGGGCTGGACCCGGGCCTGGCTGTGAAGCTGGAAGACGCGAGTAAATGCTGGGGTGTCAGGGGTCGGTGGGAGCTGGGACCCCTGACCCCTCTCTCTCTGCGCGGGTCCTCTCGGCAGCTAGCGCCCTGCAGTTTCTGCATGAACGGAACATCTCTCACCTGGACCTGAAGCCACAGAACATCCTGCTCAGTTCCTTGGAGAGGCCGCACCTGAAACTGGCAGGTGTGAGTCTGGAGGTGTGGGGTTGGGGGTGCCTGAGACCGTCTGTCGCCATGGTTCTCCTGAAGGCTCTGTCAGAGTGTCAGTCGGGAGACAAAGGCGGGTGATAGCCCCCATACACTTTTCCCCTCCTTCCAAGGTTGGGCCCCTTCCAGGCCACCCAGACTGGACTCCAGAGGACAGGGGACAGGCGGCAGGCTCGGGGGCAGGGGTCTGTGTCGCCAACCAGGATTGGGGCACCAGATTGGCCCCGGTGGTGGTGTCAGGTGTGTGAGGGAGAAGGGCTGCCGTGCCCCTCATGAGAGGCGGATGAGAGTGAACTCCGGGCTGGAGGCTGGGAATGTGGTGACAGTGCCTTGGGGTTCCAGCCTTGGGGGACCCTTATTTGTGGAGCATGTGACTGGCATCCTCCCCAAGAATCAGGAATAGGGGGCTGGAGAGTGATAGTACAGCTGGTACGCTATTGTCCTTGCACCCAGCCAACCTGGGTTCGATCCCCAGCATCCCACGTGGTCCCCCAAGCACTACCGGGACTAATTCCTTAGTGCAGAGCCAGGGGTAACCCCTGAACATTGCTGTTGTGACCCAAAAAGCAACAAAAAAAGAATCAGGCGTAGGGAGAGGCTTCCTGGAAGACATCGGGGGTGTTCCAGGGTGCTGAGGAGGAGGGACGCCTGGTGGAACAGGGTAGCCTGAGCAGTGACGCGAGCCCTCGGCCTGGCCCCCGCCCGCAGACTTCGGCTTTGCACAGCACATGTGCCCCCGGGCTGAGAAGCACGCGCTCCGAGGGTCCCCACTCTACATGGCCCCCGAGATGGTGTGCCAGCGGCAGTACGACGCCCGCGTGGACCTCTGGTCTGTGGGGGTCATCCTATATGGTGAGGACGCGGCCCCCTCCCCTGCCCCCAGGGAGGCCAGGCCCCCCAGCCCCCGCCCTGCTGATGGGCCGTGCTGGGCTCGGCCCCGGCCCCTCGCAGCCCGCCTCTGCTCCCTCCACAGAAGCACTCTTCGGACAGCCCCCCTTTGCCTCCAGGTCCTTCTCGGAGCTTGAAGAGAAGATCCGGAGCAACCGAGTCATCGAGGTGAGCGACCTGGGCCGGAGCCTGTGGGGCTTGGGGACCTCATCACCATTCCCTAGATGGGAGTGGGCCCGCATCCCGGAGTCTGGGCCAGGGAGAGGACGGGGCTCGGGGACAGCTCGTAAGAGCAGCCCCTGACCCCTCACTGTCCCCCAGGCCTCTGATTCTGCCCGGGGCCAGTTGGTCCCTCTACAGCATCTTGGGGCCGGGGCTGCGGGGCTAGAGCCGAGTGTGACTTGGGGGCCCCCCTCCCCTCCCCTCCCGCAGCTCCCCCTGCGGCCGCTGCTCTCCCGAGACTGCCGGGACCTGCTGCGGAGGCTCCTGGAGCGGGACCCCGCCCGCCGCATCTCCTTTCAGGACTTCTTCGTGCACCCCTGGGTGGACCTGCGGCACATGCCCAGCGCCCAGAGCCTGGCCCAGGCAGTGAGCGGCCCCAGGGCAGGTGGGGGGCTCGGGGGCACCCAGGGGGGGTCTGTCGTTCCCACCACCCAGCACAGGGCCGGGTGCGACTCCGGGTCTCCCTGTCCGCAGACCGCCCTGGTGATGCAGGCCGTGGAGAAGGACCAGGAGGGTGACGCGGCGGCTGCGCTGTCCCTGTACTGCCAGGCACTGGACTTCTTCGTGCCTGCGCTGCACTGTGAGTGCCCGGACGGCGCTGGGCGGCTCCCGGACATTCTGGGGTGGAACTGGGGGCTGGGCGGGGGCGAGGGCTCCTCACCAGACCCCCGCTTTCTGCAGATGAGGTGGACTCCCAGCGCAAGGAGGCCATCAAGGCGAAAGTGAGTAGCGGGCGGGCGGGCGCCTGGGCTGCGCGGGCTGGCTCCTCCGCAGCCCTGCCCCGGGAAGGGGGTCCCCAGCCCGCAGCTTCCTCAGCCCCCGCCCCCCGCAGGTGGGACAGTACGTCTCCCGGGCCGAGGAGCTCAAGGCCCTCGTCTCCTCCTCCAACCAGGCCCTGCTGAAGCAGGGGGCCTCTGCGCGCGACCTGCTCCGAGGTAGGACCCCCGGGACCCCGGAGCTCCAGCCGGGGGGAGGGAGAGGCAGGTTGGGGGGCTCCTGGGACACAGGTTGGTCCCAGCACCTGAGCCCCTGCCCCTCATTCCAGAGATGGCCCGGGACAAGCCGCGGATGCTTGCTGCCCTGGATGTGGCTGCAGCTGCCATGGCCAAGGTATGCACCCGCAGGGGGCTTCTGGGGGCCAGGTTATGTCCTTGAGTGACCCTCAGTGACCATGGGCGGGGGGGGGTTGTGCCTTGTGGCTGCAGGAGGAGGAAACTAGTGCGGAGCAAGATTCTCTGGACCTGTACCAGCAGAGCCTGGGGGAGCTGCTGCTGTTGCTGGCGGGTGAGACGCGACCCTCCCGCAGCCGGCCCTGCCCTCACCCCTGCCCATCTGCCCTGATCTCTGCTGTACACCCCTGCCCACCCTGCATTTAACCCCCACCCACTCTGCCCTCAGCCCTGTCCTGCACCCCTGCCAACCCTGCCCTCACCACCCTCACCTCTCACCCGCCCTGCCCTCACCCCTGCCCAGCTGTCCCCACCCCCAGCCCACCCTGCCTTCCCCACCCTTATCTCCTGCCCTCTCTTTGCAGCGGAACCCCCGGGTCGCAGGCGGGAGCTGCTTCATACTGAGGTGCCCCCCCCACACCCCACCCCAGGGCCGGGAGGGAGGGGGTTCCTCTTCCCTCTCTCCCTGCTCCCAAATGGATCTTCTGCAGGTTCCCTGGGCCCATGTCCAAGTGTGGGCATCAGGCTTGGTGGGCGGTGGGCGGTGGGCGGTGGGAGGGTGGCCCACGTGTGTCATTCAGGCTGGAGGCTGGAGGCGGGGATGCAGGGAGACAGGCAGGGCCTGGGACCCACTGGCAGGAAATCTCCTGGAAGGCTTCCTGGAGGAGGGAGCAAGTCAAAACGCGGAGTGCCAGAGAGATAGTAGAGCGAGTAGGGCGCTTGCCTTTCATCATGTAGCCGACCCGGGTTTGATCCCCAGCACATTCGATCCCCCAAGTCCGCCATGACCACAGAGCCAGGAGTGATCCCTGAGCATCACCAGGTGTGACCCCAGACAAAAACGAGACAGAACTCAGAAGTCCCTGTGTTGCGGCGGCACCCGGAAAGGGCTGCACACATGGGCTCGTCTCTCCCGGCAGATCCAGAACCTCATGGCTCGGGCTGAGTACCTGAAGGAGCAGATCAAGGTGGGCAGCAGGCGTGGGGCAGTGGGGGCGGGGCTACCGGGGCCCCCTGGCCCGCGTCTCCTGTGTCCCTCCCACTCAGAGGCCATTTGTGGGCCCCTCGGCCCCTCTGCTGCCTCTCACCGCCGCCGTCCATCCCTAGGTGAGGGAATCTCGCTGGGCGGCCGAGGCCCTGGACAAGGAGCCGCTGTCGGAGTCCGTGCGGAGCTGTGAGTCCACAGGGTGGGGGGATCGAGGGCGGGAGCGGCGTGTCCGGCTGCTCCGCCACCCTGACCCTGAGCCTCCCCCCCGCCCCCCCCCCCCCCGCTCTCCCTACAGCTTGTACCCTGCAGTGACCACAGGACTGAACAGACCACGAGCCACCAGGAGGACCGACGCAGGCTCCCCGGGCCCCCTCAGATCCCCCACCGCCCCCTGAGCCTTTGCTGGGTCTGGGCCAGCCTAGCGGGCAGCCAGGCTGGGGCCATGTTGCCTTCCCTGGGGGCCCGTGATGCATCGAGCTGGTTGCGGGGCGCCCGACCTGGCCTAGCCCGAGGAGATGCGGTAGGCCCGCGGGGGGCTGTGCTGTGCCGTCCGTTGCCGGCCCCCGCCTCCTCGAGCCTCACCGGACCCACCACCCTCCTTTCTCTGGAGCAACTTGCACCAGGACCCTCAGGGACCACCCGCCTGTGGACCCCCAAGTCCGGGAGTGCCCCCCTTCACCCTCACAGCTGGAAGTGAGACTCCGGACTTCGTACTTTGCCAGGGCAGAGCACCTCTTGAGGAGCTCATGTCTGGGTGCCACTGGCGCAGTACGAGCGCGGGGAGACGGCCCCAGGGCTGCGCGGGCCCAAGGCCTCCTCTGCATGCGGGAGGCCTGGCTTCCATCCCCAGCACCCCTGGGAGGGACCCCCGAGCACTGAGCCAGGAGCAGTCCCCGAGCACTGCAAGGGTCATCCTCCTCATCCCTCCCCTCTGTCCCTCCTTGGGAACATGCCTCCTTGCCACAGCACAGGGGCTGCGAGACACTGAGACCACGGCTCAGCGTTAGGGCAGCAGCACCCAGCCTGTGTCGCTCCCATCCCCCATGTTGGGCTAGGCCCTTTCCTCTCTCCTGCCTCCTCTGCCTCCTGCAGGGACTCTCAGGAGGACGAAGTGACTTTAGCTGGGAGGAGGGACACAGCTGACATTACTGGGGGCCCGCCCTCTGGGTGAGTCCGAGGGTTCTGGTGACCTCGAACCCTCCCCAGGGCAGAAGCCCGCTGCCCGTCCACGCATACTGGCTGCATTGTTGGTGGAGGTCGTTCTTGGTTTCTCAATTAAATTATTTTCCAAACCTCGGCTTCACTTCTTGCCCCTGGGAAACGAGGGTCAGAGGGGCCCCAGTAAAGTCTGGGTAATCAGGGCTGGAACAATAGCACAGCAGGTAGGTCATTTGCCTTGCACGCAGCTGACCCGTGTTCGAATCCTGGCACCCCAGATGGTCCCCTGAGCACCGCCAGGAGTAATTCCTGAGTGCAGAGCCAGGAGTAACCCAGGTGCATCGCCAGGTGTGACCCAAAAAGAAAAAAATCTGCGTAATCTGGGGGAGGTAGGAGGGATGGCCACAGGGTAGGGGTCCCCTGTCCTCTGGCTATGGGGTTTCTGACCCAAAGGGCCTGGCAGGACCAGTAGTGGTGACAGGGTGCTTCTTGTTTGGCTCTGAACCAGTGTGGGTCCCTGCCCCAGAGGGTAAGAGGGGACAGTGAACTGCACCATCTCTAGTGCAGGCCGGGCTGGGTTCCTCCAGGAGCGTCCTTCCCACTACCAGCCCACAACCGCTAACTCCCACCCCAAGCCTGGGGCTGCAGGACACACACATCCCTGGACATCTGGGGACCCTCGCTGCAGGCGTCAAGGGCTGGTCACAGAGGAACAGGCCAAACAGTCCCTCTCAGCCTGGCCCCTGTCTCCCGGGGAGCAGACTCAGCCCACTCTCTCCCTGCCTGGCCAAGGGATGGACCTACAGAGGCCGTCCAGAAGCAGCCTGTCCCCTAAGGATGCTGCTGTCCAGCCCTGTCAGCGGGAGTTGGCCTGACCTGCAGCTGGGTGTGAGGGAAGGCAGTGTCCCCGTAACTCACAGCTACACTCTTGGAATCTCAGCAACACAGACACAACCCAGTTCCAGTACCGGGGTAAGGCGACTGCTTGGCATGGCGCCTCTACTGGTTCGGTCCCAGGCACCACATACCAAGCACTGCCAGGAGTGATCACTGAGCACAGCCTGCTGTGGCCCCAAAGCCCCTTGCAGGTGGTCAACCCAAGTTTGATTCCTGGCACCCCATATGATCCCCTGAGCTCCGTCAAAAGTGATCCCTGAGCACAGAGCCAGGAGTATGCCATGAGCACCATCCTGAGCCAGGTGTGGCCCAGAAACTGGGAAGGAAAAAAAAATGGCGAGTTCACAGACCCACGCCCAGCTGCCGAGTGAGGCCAAGGCTGCTCCTTCCAAGCCCACCCTGGCTCCAGCTTGCTGGGTCCCGCAGGTATTGCACAAGGGCCATAACCCCCTGGGGGCACCGGGCTAGCAAGGCCGAGGGCTTCCCACCCAGCCTCAGGAAACAGCTTGTCCCAGCAAATAACATTCCCCCAGATGTCCCCAGAGCCCCTGGGCGGGAATGGGGGAGGGCGAGCGGGCAGTCTCTGAGGAGGAACCATATGGCTGGCTCTTGGGGGGAGGAGAGGAAAGGCCTCAGGACTCCAAACCCATCACCCACCCCAGCAGCTTCCTGGGGACTGGCCCCCTGCTCCTCCCTCTCAGCCTTCGCTCTTCAGATGGGCATAGGCAGGAGAAGGGCTTGCTAGAGCCCGGCTCTCCCCAAACCTCACCGAATCCTCATTTATTTGGGGGTCGGGCCACATCTGTCAGTGTTCAGGAGTCAACCCTAGCTTCACGCTGGGCTTTTGTCTTGGCAGTGCTCACGGGGCCATTTAGGGTCAGGAATCAGAACCTGGATTCCCCTGGTCCTCACAGTAAGGTGCCCAGAAGCCTGCAGGGGGCGCTGAGGGGGAGCAAGCAGCCATCCCTGGGGTCCTGAGAGGGTACAGGAGCCAGAGTGATAGATAGCACAGCAGCTGAGGCGCTTGCTATGCATATGGCCGACCCAGGTTCAATCCCCGGCATCCCATATGGTCCCCTGAGCACCATCAGGAGTAATTGCTGAGTGCGGAGTAAGCCCTGAGCACAGCTGGGTGTGACCCCCAAACAAAAGAACAGAATGGGACTGGAGAGAGAACACAGGGGTTCAGGCACTTGCCTTGCACAGGCCGACCCAGGTGTGACCCTCGGCACCACAGCTGGTCCCTTGAGCTAAGCCAGGAATGACCCCTGAGCACAGCCAGGAGTAGACGCCTGGCTCTTCCCAGTGTGTCTCAGAAACCAAAACTAAACCAAAAAGAGAAGGAAGTGGTGGTGAGAAAGGCCTGAACATACCTCGAGCCCCTGTCTGGGGGCAGCTGCTGAACTGCAGGAACTTCCTCCGGGCCCACAAGGAGACCCAGCTGCTTTCTGCGGCCTCAGCCACCGCACAGTGCAGGCCACGGGAGCAGGAAGGTCAGAACTCGCAGCCATAGGGGGCGGTGGTGGGGACTTGGGGGGGCAAGTGGCTTTCTGTGTGGTCTTCACCTCGCACTGGGTGGGCGAGGTGAGGTGTTCCCTCCGAGAACACAGACAGGCTGGGGGTGGGGGACAGGAGCCTGGAGACCCTCAGCCAGGCCTGTCCCAGCCGAGAGAGGGGCTGTGGGGTAGGTATAAGCCAAGGCAGGGGCAGGGTGTGAGATAAGCAGGATTTCTTTTTTTCCTTTTTGTTGTGTTGTTTTGTTTTGTTTTGTTTTGCTTTTTGGGTCACACCCAGTGATGCTCAGGGGTTACTCCTGGCTCTGCACTCAGGAATTACTCCTGGCGGTGCTCAGGGGACCATATGGGATGGCTGGGATTGAACCCAGGTCAGCCGCATGCAAAGCAAATGCCCTGCACGCTGTACTATTGCTCTGTGGATCACAGAAGCGCCGGTAGTGGGGAAGGGACGACCCACCCAGTGGGCAGACTGCCTCTGTGCACATCTCTGAGCCCCTAAGGCCCCCTCCTTCCCCACCCCCACCCCCCATATACACACATGTTCCAAGAACATGGAGATCGGTCGTGGCTCTGTGTTAGGAGGGAATCTGTGTGGGGCCTAGCTCCCTCCTGCTCCCAGATTCAAGCCCCCAGTCACCACCCTGGTGTCTATCTGGGGGGCTCTGTGAGTGTTGCACACCCCCCTCTCTCGGGTCCCGTGGCCGCAAAGGGATGGCTTGGAGTCCATCAGGCAGAAGGCCCTGGGGGGACAGTGCTGACGCAGGCTGGCTGCTGACGCACTAGTGAGGCTTCACTATTGCCACCGGCCCGGGGCACAGGCTTGATCTCCTCCAGCTCCAGGAAGGGAGGGGTCTTGTCCAGAGACCACAGGGCAGCCCCAGAACAGTGCAGAGGCCCCAGGATGCTGGGGGAGAAGGCCAGAGTGCCCCTCAGACAGGCCCCCTCAAGCCCTCGCCTGCCGCGTCCCTGCCCCTCCTCCCTCTCCCTGACTGTCCCCCTGTGCCTTCCTACTCTACAGAGCAAGTCTAAGGTCCCCCATGCCCTGACACCGAAGCCCCAGGGCCTGCTCTGCCCTGAGTCTTGGCCTCTTTCACACAAGGCTACCAAGAGGGGTGAGTGTTGAGGGCTCAGGCAGGGGGCGGGGGGCTGTAGACCTTCCTCCTCCCTCCTCCAGCCCCTGTCATGCCTCCTCTGGGTTTCCTGGCCCTCCCACAGCCAAGGGGGCGGGGGGGATGACATCTGGATCTTTGCTCTTATTTTCTGTCACACAGTCGGGGGGGTGTGGAGGGCATGGAACCCCAGCGCTTTGGACAGGCAAGTGTCCTATTGCTGAGCTACAAGGACTCCTGTTTTGCTTTTTTTTTTTTAAATTTGTTGTCGTTATTTCTTTACATTCTGGGGGGAGCCTCTGCCTGGGTGTGGGGGACCATTCCCGGTGCTACATGAGGAGCCTGCTCCCGCACTGCCAGGATGGAGCCCAGGGATCCCAGCTACCCTTTGAACATCTCCCGGCCCCACTTCACCCGGCAGTGCTCAGGGGCTACTCCCATCTCTGTGCTCACCCCCCCTGCAGCACATACGTGGTGCCAGGGATCAAACAGCATGTATCCACTGTGCTGTTTCTCAGATTCCGGGTTTTTGGTTTGTTTGCTTGTTTGAAGAATTCTCAGGGCCAGAAGGAATAGGATGGATTGTCTATGGAGTGGATTGCCAGGGTCAGAGCGCTAGCACAGGGTTCAGACACTTGTCTTAGATACAACTGACCTGGGTTGGACCCCCAGCAGCCTCTATGGCTCCCCAACCCCTGCCAGAAGTGATTCCTGAGCACGAGAGTAAGAGCCAGAGTAAGCCCTGAGCACTGGCGGGAGTGGCCCCCAAACAAACAAAAACTACGTATACACATATGTATAATGAATTACTCTCAATCTACCACTACCAATAGTCACCGTTTGAAACACTCTCAGGGGTGCTCTGCATTTCACAGGGGCAGCAGGGTCAGAGAGGGTAAGTGCCCTACTTAGTCACACAGCAGCACCAGGCAGAACACTGGCCTGTCCCTGATCTGTTCCACCGTCCATTTCTTGAGGGGAGCTGAGGGGGGCCGGCCTGCTGTGGTGGAGCTGGGGCTTCTCCTGCAATGGTCTCGGGCCTCATATTCCCTAGATCCATCCCCATGGGTGTGGTCACATCCCCAAACCCAGAGCAGCTTCATCCACTCAAGCTGGACCTGGTGCTCAGCTGATGGGCGGACCCCATGTCGATCTGAGTGCAGGCAGAACTCGACCATATGTCTTTGTTCCTGGTGGGGGTGGAGCACATCTGGCAGTGCTCCTCCTGACTCAGTGTTAGGGGTTGCCCCTGGCAGTGCTTGGGGGCCCTGGGGGCCTGGGGATTGCACCTGCTTCTCCTGTGCGATGCCCGCGCTTGGTCCTTGGCCTCACTAGCCCCGGTTTAGACATCCTGTGAGGGGCTGACGCTCCTGTGAAGCTGGGGGTGAGGAGGCAAAGGTCAGGTCACAGGCAGGAGGAGGGGGGCCTTGACCCCCTAGACTCCTGAAGGGAAGAAGGAAGTCGGAGGCACATTTATTGGCGTTTTTATTTTTTTCACCGAGCTTAGAGAGCAGATGCAGCTACGGAATCTGGAGGGAGTTCTACGGGGAGCGAACAGAAAGAGAAGGCCCGGGGCCCTCGAGCTGCTGCTCCCTGGGCACTCGGCCTCACTCGGGCCCGGGGAGCTCGTGCTAGAAAGGCCGTGTCCACTGTAGAGGGAGGAGTTAAGACCCCGAGAGCCCAACTGTTTTCCAGGAGGACAAAAGTGGGTCCTCAGGCCTCCTGTGGGCAGAGCGTGAGGGGCTCACACTGTCCCAGCATCTGCTGCCACTCAGAGGCACGACAGACCTGGGAGCTGATACGAGTGTGCCAGGCTGCGGGCCTCTCCACGGGGCAGGGTTGCTGCGGCCCCTGGGTGTCCCTCTGTGTGCGAGAACTTGGGAGCAAGCCAGGAGGCCCCCCAGGCTGACTAGGGAGGGTGGGTCCTGAGGGCAGGGGTGAGAGACACGGGGGAGAGGGAGAGAGCAGAAAGCAAGTTCGGAATAAGGCAAGCAGGGTCCTAGGGCCGTGAAGGGCAGGGGAAGCAAGTGAGATGGAGCCAGGGCCCCTGCGAGTGGACGCGCTCCGAACCCTCAGGGACCCAGCCTCCTGGCCACCCCAAGGGACACCCCCAGGGGAGAGTCACATGATGTGGCACTTCTCAGCTGTTTGCTTGAGGTCCCCCACTGTGGCCTGGGCCTTGTCCTTAAGGGAGCCAAGGTCCAGGCCAGGGAGGCTGGCCAGCTGCCCGAGCACCGACGCCTTCTCCTCCTCTTCCTCGGTGTCCTCCTTGATCATCTTGGCCAGCTCCCGGGGCAGCTCCACATCACCACCTGCCAGCTGGATCTGGCCCACGTCAGTCTCATTCTGGAAGGGAAAAAGGAAGCAGCGAGGCTGACAATCCGGAGGGTCCAAAGTTTAGGGGACAAGGAGGAGGCCTGGACCTCCTGAACCCTTTCAGGCTCCTAAATTCTCTTTCTGTTTTTTTGGTGGGAGCTCGCACCTAGCAGTACTCAGGGCTTCCTCCTGACTGTGCTCAGGGACTACTCAGTGGTGCTCGGGGGGCGTAATGGGATGCCAGGGATCAAACCCAGTTTGAACACCCTGCCTGCTGTTGTAAGAACAAAACTGATGCCATAACAGGCGGCAGAAATGAGAAAAATCAAGTAGGCCTCAGGTTCAGATCCTGGAACTGAAACAGATTCAGTTTCCCAGCAATAAAACAATGTGTAACTAGCCAACCTGAACCCACCTGGGAAAGCTCCTGGGCTCAGCAAGGGGGTTCAATTAGTCAGTTTTCACAATGCCCCAGAAGTCGCTTTTTGTTAACCCTAAAAGAACAAGAAGGGCTTGAGCGATAGAAGAGCGGGTAGGGCATTTGCCTTGCATGCAGCTGACCCGGGTTCGATACCCAGCATCCCATATGGTCCCCCAAGCACCGCCAGGAGTAATTCCTGAGTGCATGAGCCAGGAGTAACCCCTGTGCATCGCCGGGTGTGATTAAAAAAAAAAATTAAAAAAAAGAACAAGAAGCCTATGTAATCATAAAATTGGTACTGATACTAAAAATTATTGTTTAATTGTTGCCTAAACACTGTTACCCTAGACACTTGTCAAAACACCTTTGTTTGGCAACTAAGTAAGATTCTTTTCTGAAACAATAAGGCATGTACTGCTATGTAATCAAACCCTATATAAACCGCTTGCTGCCTGAAGTTGGGGTCGCTATCAAGAGAACACTCTGGGGGGTATGGTGCCACCAGCAGGTCAGTCTGTACCTGAAAGACGAGTGCAACAACAGCCTGATGGCGCCTTCAGACTTCCAAATACCCCAAAATTGCTGCTGTGCCTTTGGCCAGACCCCAACAACTTGGGGCAAAGTTTATCAAGAAAGTAAACGGCCAAAAGATAGGTATGTGGGAGACACACCCACAAGCCACCTCCAGCTCAGCTATATAACTGGAGGCAAGGCTTCTCTGGTTCCTGATTGAACTGCTTAATGGCCATGACCCCAGAGACTCAGGAACAAATCTTGGAAACCAGCGGCTTTAGGTAGAAATGCGTCCGGTCCCTGCAGTAAGTTACAGGTGCTGGGCCACCCCAGGTGGGAATAGATTTTGTGCCTTGACCTGTTCCCCCTGAAGGCCCGGTGGCCACCATCCTCCAGAGGCCACTGGACAGTCAGGTTTGGGCCCACAGTGATGAGACACATGGGGCCTACACGGGATAGGGGTGAAGCCAGCCCTTTCCTCCCTGCCCCAATGAGACCCCAAGTCGCCACTCACGAACGGCGTCTCTGGCTCCTGATCAAGCTACTTAACGGCCATGATCCCAGAGACTCAGAAACCAATCTCGGAACCCAGTGGCTTTTGGCAGAAATGCGTCCAGACCCTGCAGTAGGTTACTGTCTCCGGTGTCTCCGGGCCATTCCAGGGGGTAAAGGGTGCTGTCCCTCTGCCTGCTCCCCGTAGGTGGCTTGATGGCCGCCATCCTCTAGAGGCCATTGGACAGTCAGGTTTGGGCCCTCAGTGATGAAACATGCAGGGCCTCATGGGATGGGGGTGGAACTGGCCCTTTCCTCCTTGTCCCTACGAGACCCCGAGTCGCCTCCCACTAATGGCTTTTCTGGCTCCTAATCAAGCTGCTTAATGGATCAAGTTCCAAGAGATTCAGGAACAAATCTCAGAACCCAGCAGGTTCTGGAAGAAATCCTTCCAGATTTAATCGTTAAAATTTTGGAATTTCAAAATCGCTCAGCCACTACTGCAGCCACGCGACATCATATGTTATTCATAACCAGCAATAGAAAACAAATTGTCTACTGTTGTCTTTTCAGCAGATCTGAGTGTTGGGGAAAATCTCAAATAATAATGGTGGGTCTGGTGTCAAAATATTGAATGTAATCAAAGTAGAGAAAGAGTAATGTGGAAATTGTCTGTCCCACAGGTAGGGGGAGGGCGTGGGATGGGGTATACTGGGGTTTATTTTGGTGGAGAATGGGCACTGGTGAAGGTACGGGTGTTTCATTGTATGACTTAAACCCAAAAGCTTTGTAACTGCTCTCACAGTGATTCAATAAATAAAAGGTAAAGGTAAAGGCCCTCCCGTTGTTCATCGATTTGCTCGAGTGGGCCCAGTAACGTCTCCACTAGAGACTTTGTTGTTACTGTGTTTGGCATATCGAATATGTCACGGGGAGCTTGCCAGGCTCTGCCGTGCGGGCAAGATACTCTCGGTAGCTTGCCAGGCTCTCAATAAATAAAATTATAAAAAATGAAAAAAAAAAAGAAAGTAAGATGGAGTTCATGCCCAATTCAATCAGCTAATCAGTGGCTGAATAAATAGCAGTACTCCTACATTAAAAAAAAAAAAGCGACACTCTGTGGGTGAGATAGTTGACACCAGTATCACTGTATCACTGTCATCCCATTGTTCATAGATTTGCTTGACTGTGCCAGTAACGTCTCCATTTGTCCTAGCCCTGATATTTTATTTATTTATTTATTTATTTATTTATTTGCTTTTTGGGTCACACCCGGATATGCACAGGGGTTACTCCTGGCTCTGCATTCAGGAATTACTCCTGGCAGTGCTCAGGGGACCATATGGGATGCTGGGAATTGAACCTGGGTCGACCGCGTGCAACGTAGACGCCCTACCCACTGTGCTATTGCTCCAGCCCCTAGCCCTGAGATTTTAGCAGCCTCTCTTTACTCGTCCTTCCAAATGGTGCTGCATTGGAGGCTCTTTTAGGGTCAGGGGAATGAGACCCATTATTGTTACTGTTTTTGGCATATCGAATACGCCATGGGGAGCTTGCCGGGCTCTGCCGTGCAAGCAGAATACTCTCGGTAGCTTGCCGCGTTCTCCAAGAGGGAGAACTAGACTATAAGAGGTTGCGCGACCTCAGTATACTGGAATAAAACTCCTACTGATTTTGCATTATTGTGTTCATGTCCCTGTCCATCTTGCCGCTTGGGAAGTCAGAATGCCGGGCTTAACACTGTACTATCACTCCTGCCCCAGATTCTATTTTTTGTTTTGTTTGGGGGCCATACCTGGTTATGCGAAGATTATGCTCCTGGTTCTGGCTCTGTGCTCAGGGATTATTTTTGGTGGTGCTGGAGGACAGAGGAGACCCATATGCAGTGCTGGGGAGTCCAACCAGATTGCTGCATGCAAAGCAAGCGCTTTACCTGCTGTACTATGTCTCTGGCACCCAGATTCTTAGAATGTTATGGTGATCTCTCCACTCCCAAATTGGACCTTTGAACCTGGATTCCTAGTACTTTTCTTCCTTCCTTCCTTCCTTTCTTTCTTTCTTTCTTTCTTTCTTTCTTTCTTTCTTTCTTTCTTCCTTGTTGTGTGTGTGTGTGTGCGTGTGTGTGTGTGTTTTACATGTTGAGTCACATCTGGTGATGCTCAGGGGTTACTTCTGGCTCTGAACTCAGGAATTACTCATGGCAGTGCTCAGGGGACCATATGAGATGCCCACGATTGAACCCAGGTCAGCCACATGTAAGGCAAATGCCCTACCTGCTGTACTATTGCTCAGCCAGCCCCTCACATCTATTTTTTTTTTTTTTTTTGCTTTTTGGGTCATACCCGGTGATGCACAGGGGCTACTCCACCTGGACCATGCACTCAGGATTTACTACTGACAGTGCTCCAGGGATCATATGGGATGCTGGGAATCAAACCCGGGTCAGCCACGTGCAAGGCAAATGCCCTACCTGCTGTGCTATCACTCCAGCCCCTCACCTCTATTTCTAAGTCAGGCCTTGAGCTGACCTCTCCAGGAGTTAGCCTGATCCCACCTACTCACTCAGTGACTTTTAGCCTCTGGTCCACACACTGGTGGCAGGAAAGTCCTGCTGATGTGTAAGGAAGACACCACTCCTTAACACCATGGTATTTCCAACCACAAGCCCGCAAACTGGTGCCAATCTACAGGGGTAAGAAGGTGGAAAAGCCTAAACTCAGCAGGTGCCGATGATGGTTAACACCGAGGGACTGAGCTACAGGGGTGCTGGGCACCAGTCCTCACACACCTGTGGCAGGTGGGCATTGAACCGGTGCTTTTAGTTCTCTCTCTGACCCTGGGACTATGATCTCCCCTTAACCAATAAGAAGAGGGAAACTCAGCCCACTGGTGTAGGAAACTTGCCCACATGTCTAGGGAGGGGCTCGCTGGGTTTCATGTTCCACTGACAGGGGGCAGAGTACATTGGATAGGGTGCTTGCCTTGTACATGGCTCACCTGGGTTTGGTTTCAGCACCCCATATGGTCCCATGAGACCTCTAAGAGTGATCCCTGAGCGCAGAGCCAGGAGAAAGCCCCGATTACCACCAGGTGTCGCCAAAAATACAAAAAAAAAGCTATGGGAGCATTCCTGCTCTCCGGACACACCATCAGGCTTCCCTACCCCTCTGGGGGCCTGGAGCCTTCTAGCTGAACTCAGTGACAGTCGCGGCTTTCCTCTCCCACTGACCTCAGGGTTCTCCTAGGGAACACGTGGCTCCCATGTTTAGCACAAACATTTAAAGAATGATTCCACTCTTAGTTGGGTTAACTTGGTAACTCTCTGGAAATGAAGGCTTTCTGCACTGAATCGGTCATTCAAGAGATCGGAGCCTGGAGTCAGAGGGATACTACAGTGGGTAGGACTCTTGCCTTGTACATGGCCAACCCACGTTCAATCCCCAGCATCTCTTATGGTCCTCTGAGCACCACCGAGAGTATACTCCTGAATGTAGAGCCAGGAGTAACCCCTGAGCATTGCTGGGTGTGGTCCAAAACAAAACCAAAAAATCCAAAAGACTGAAATCTACAGAGCTAGAAAGTCAAAGGGCTGAGTTCATGCTTTGCATGTGGGATGCCTAGGTTCCATCCCTGGCACCACATGGTCTCCTTAGCTCTTCTGGGAATGATGCCCCCCCCCCATACAACAAGCTGAAAGGAGCAACAGGGAGTAAGCATTTGCTGAATAAGTGAACTTCTCATATCTGAGCTTGCAGTTCAAGTGCAAGATCAAGGTCAGGAGCACCCTGGCAAAGGGCTTCTGTTTCCCCCTTGGTATCTAGCTCAGTTCTGGCCACTGGGAGTAACTTGTGCCTCAGTCCCTTCCTCAGGGCTCAAAATAAGCAGATCGGGGCTGGAGAGATAGCACAGCAGGTAGGGCGTTTGCCTTGCATGCAGCTGACCCGGGTTCGATTCCCAGCATCCCATATGGTCCCCTGAGCACCGCAGGAGTAATTCCTGCGTGCAGAACCAGGAGTAACTCCTGTGCATCGCCAGGTGTGACCCCCCCCCAAAAAAAAAGCAGATACATCCATGCAGACAGCGCCCTGGATGCATGGCCAACCGCGGGGGAAACTTTGCTCTCTATAGACAATGCCACATTCCGGCAGACAGACAGAAGGTTCTGGAGCCTGAAGGGGCATTAGGAATGTCACCTTTTATCTGCTCCATCACTCAGTGGTTCTACATCCTCCGTCAAGCCCAGCCTCTCTGAGCCTCATTCCCTTGGTGTTTGACCCGTAGCCAGCCATGTGAGAGCAGCCACTGGCAGTATCACTCCCTGGGGGGGTGGGGTGGGGTGGACATCTAGGGGCTGGAGAGTAGGTCTGGAGGCAAGAAGGGATCTGGTCCAGCTGCAGGACCAAGATTGACAAGTGTGTCGATCTCTGAGGCCAGGCTTCCTCTCCATGTCAAGCTTACGCCAGACACCCTTGAATGAATGAATGAGTGAATGAGTGGATGAATGACTGGAAGGAGCCCTGAGTGAATGGGGCAGTGGAGACTCAGGGTCCCACTGTGTCTGGCAGTCCTCAGCCTTCTCTTACCTTGGGCAGCCGGTACTTGTCCCGGAAGTGGCTCCGCAGCGTAGCGCGCTCTGCCTTTCTCTGTGTGAACTGCGCGTCTCGCTCCATCCTATGGGGCCGGGGACAGAGTCAGGGCGAGGGCTGAGAGCACAGGAAGGGCCGCAAGGACCTGGCAGGTGGAGTTTCTGCATTATAGCGAAGCACTGCAATACTGTCCTCCTTCTGGAAGATTCTAGGACTTAGCACCCTACTTCCCCCATCTCCCCTGGAAGCAGGTCCCTTGTGGTTGCCGCCGCCTCTGGGTGGCACTGTCGGAGTCACCAGGGCAGAGGCTCATCTCTGCGAACCATAACAGGAGTCCTCTTTCTGAATCAGTCATTCAAGAGATCGGAGCCTGGAGTCAGAGGGATACTACAGTGAGTAGGACTCTTGCCTTGTACGTGGCCAACCCACGTTCAATCCCCAGCTCTGAGCCTCCACAATCTCCCTGATGGTGGAGGTATAAGGGGGGAGAATTCGGGAACAGACCTGGGTTTACATCAGGCTTCACTGCCAAATTTGATAGGTAAATCACTTTCTTCTGTAAAATATGGATAAGATTTTGCAGCGGGCAAATCCGTCTATCAGGATTTTAAGGGAATAACCATAGCTAGCATTTAGTGATGTATCAGGTGCTAGCTGCTAAGGAAGGGGCTTGCATGCATTAAAAAATTTTGGGGGGGTTCATACTCAGTGATGCTCAAGGATTAGTCCTGGCAGGCTTTGGGGACCATATGAGGTTCAGGGGATCAAACCTGATGTCGGCTGTATGCAAGGCAAGCACTGTACCTGCTTTGCCATTGCTTTATTCATGCATTCCCATTTTACTGAAGATAAAAACTAAGGCACAGAGAGGTTTAGGAAGTATCTTAAAGTCACAGAGATTAATAATAATAATAAGAAGAAGAATAAGTAAAATTAAAAGCCTGGATGGGAATCTGAACAGCCAGGAGTCCAGCTCCTATCCAGATCCCGGGTGCATCTCTGACCCACCATAAGCGCGCAAATGGTCTTGGTCACTACATTCTCTTATGTCAGCCTCTGTGGCTCTGAGCCCCCTCGGTGTCCCCCTTTTCCCAGAGCCTCGGGCTCAGAGGAAGGCCTGTGGGGAGACACTGGCTGTGTCCAGATCGGATTAAGGGATTACCGGTTTCCTCGGAAAAGCAAGTATTCCCACCACACACCCTGCCCCCATCTCCCTGGGAGCGGAACAGGGGTGCTTGTCTTGGGCTTGGGATGGGGTGATTCTGGGGACAGCCCAGGGACACATCCCAGCCCCTTGTCACCTGTAGGGAAGGAGGGGAGGGCTGGGGTCTGAGATGGCCTCTGGGTGGAGGGACAGCTCTGGGGGGGAAAGGCGGACGGAGCCCAGGAATCCCCACTTACTTCTCTTCCACCAACTGCTTCTGATACTCCTCATACTCCTCCCGGCTCATGCCCTGGGCTTCAGCGGGGGACTTGTCCCCGTCCCCTTTGTCCTCGCCGCCCCCCAGGCTGCCGGTGAGATTCTTCAACTGGCCCCCCACCATGGTCTTCACCATGAACGCCATAGTCTTCGCCGACCCGGCCGCCGGGGGTGCGGATAGGGGGCCCCTCGCCCGGGGCACCGGCCTCGTCTGCTGCCACTTCAGCACTAGACTCCGCGGACAGCTCCGGCCGCGGGCGGCCCCGCACTCCGCCCCGCCCGCTGCCCGCCCAGGCCCGCCCCCAGCTCCCCGCACCCCTCCTGGCTGGGGGTGGTGGCGGGCAGGCACGGGGCTGAGCACGTGCCCGCTGCACATCCCGCCCCGCTGCCTCCGCCACGTGCCTCCTTCCGCCCGGCGTCCACTGGGCACCGCTGGCAACTGGGCTGGGGGTCATCCCTCAGGCCAAGGGAGACTGAGTGATGTTGACCGGCAACACTGCTTTCTCACTCCTGCCCTCCTCCCTTCTTCTCCTCTCGGACCAGGATTCTCAACTGGCACTTCCAGCGAGGGGGCACAATCTAGCCCTGGGCCCTACCCGCACCCCTTGCCCCCTCTGCAGCTGCCCAGAGAGCATGGCGCTGGGGGCCGGATGAGAGACCAGAGAGGGGTGCCTCTATGACGGCTGCTAGGTCTGGGTCACATGCCAGCTGGGCTGACCTGGAGAGCCGCAGGGAGGGAGCAGGGAGGGAACTGTCCATGGTGAGGCCAGCTGTGCCGGTCCTCCTTGTGGTGTGTGAATTTGGGAGCAGTTAGGCAGGTTTTGTTTGTTTGTATTTGACTGGGGAGATAGGACGAGTGGGGGGGGTCGTTGGGGCATACCTGGCAGTGTTCAGGGCTTACTGCTGGCTCTGTACTCAGGGATCACTCCTGGAGGGTTTGGGGGCCCTTATGGGGGGGATAGAACCTGGTTCAGCCGTGAGCAAGGTCAAATGTCCTCCTGGCTCTACTCTGGCTCCCTCTCCCTCTGGCCTTCCGGCTTGAGGGGGTGTCTCTGGGTCCTCCTTTGGGTCTCCAGGCCGGTTGGAGCCTGCCCCTAGGTTCCTGTGCCAAGGAGGTGGAAGAATTGAGTTAAGGTAAAATGAGAAAGTAAGCGAGTCTAACCAAGCAGGGGTGAGAAATCCCCTTTAATACGGTGGAAGCACCCTAGAAGCTAGGGAGCTAGGGTGGGAGCTGGGTGCCCACCAGACCAGGGAACTGGCCAGGCCCTCCACCCCCCAGACTCTTCCTGGTGATGAGAAGCAGATCTTCGTCCGGGGCTCTAACGGGTCACGCGTGTGCACTGGAAGTGGGCGGCTGCCTCCTCAGCATCCCCAGGGCCTTAGGAATTCGAGGTACAGGACTCAAAGGAAGTCGGCCCGAGGACAGATACTCCCGAAGGCTCTCGTCCAGCTCCTGTCTGCTGCCGGAGGAGAGAAGAAGTGCACTTACGATCTGGTTCCCACACTCAATGGACCATAGCCTCCCCTGCTCTGGAAACTTCTGTGGCTCCTTTGGCCTGCCATAGTTTCTCCCTGGCGTTCAAGGTCCATGATCCCATTGACTTCAGCCCTTGGTCACCTCTGAACTCTTGCATCACCCCCACTCCTGTCATCATTTCCATCTTGTGCCTCAGCTACCCTCACCACCCGGATGCATTCCCGTCTCTTACTGTCTGTGTTTCGGTGGTGCCAGGAATCAAACCCAGGGCTTTACAATGCAAGTCAACTGCTCTACCGAGGAACCATCTCCCTGGTCCCACTCTGCTTTGATTTATTTTATTGTGGAGGGAGGTCGGGCCGTACCCATCTTACTCCTGGCTTTGTGCTCAGGGATCACTCCTGGCAGGGCTCAGGGAACCATATAGGGTGGCCTACTCACTGTGCCATCTCTCTGTCCCTCCATCTGCTTTAAAGCTTATCACACTGTGCTCCTCCTCTCAAGCCACCAAGGCCACCCTGATTCATCTCTCTTGAAACTCCACCAACACAGACCAACGGCCCATTTCTGAGATCCTCAGCACACCCAAACATCAAAGCCACAAATTAAGGCTAGACCAGGCTGTGCTGTTTGCCAATGGTGGTCCAGGCTAGACCTTCTCCCGTCCCATGGCTAAGGTGCCCCTGTGTGCAGAGGGATGCCTGTGGGGGGAAGTGCAGGATGGTGGTCTGGGGAGACACACCTGAAGTGCACGTAGCAGAAGAAGCCTGCAGTCTGGATGAGCAGGAAGATCAGGAAGCTGCCGGATCGGAGGCACAGGGAGGCCCCTGAGAGTCGGCCTGCTGGCCGGGGGTCCTTGGCTGCTGCTTTCTGAAATGTGGGACATTCAAATATCCCGGGTCAGCTTCTGACCATAGGAGGGAGGGGAGCTGGACCCTGGGCCCTGTGTAGGCTGTGTCCCTGTCCCAGGCTTGGGCCCGCAGCCCAGCTGTCCCTCGGGGGAATGAGAGGAGCAGAGGCCCAAACCCCCTCCCAGCTTGCCCAGTTCCCACAGCTCAGTCTATGGGAGGAGTGGAGAAGGCCTGGGCCCGGGACTGTATGGGGGGGTAGAGGTGGGGTGAAGTTTCTAGGTAAATACAGTAAAGAGCAAAAGATGGGGTGTTCTGGAGGGCAAGGGAAGGGGCAGATGGGGGAGCAGGGACACAGACACTCAAATTTAGGGACCCTGGACACAGCCCACTCCCAATTTCCACTGGTCATTGAGGGTGGAACTGTGGGGTCTCTGGCTCTGAGCACGGGGAGGAGGGAGCTGTGTTCCTTCAGGGATACAGCGCGAACACAGGCCCCTAGGGGAGGGCGAGCCCTGAAGTGCTCAGAGAAGGGATTGAGCCCGCGCCCCAAGAGAGGGACCCCCATGTTACTGCTGCCCTTTCATTCTGCCTTACCACCTGTCCCCGCAGGTCTTTCTGCAGGAGGCTCAGCGTCTGTGCCAGCTCCAGGAAGTGATGCTTGGTGCCCACAGGCAGGTAGAAGACCTGGGCCCTCGAGGCCATGAGAGCAGCTGCATCCCTGTGGGGGCCGAAAACCAATGATGACAGCTCCCTGACTGTCCACTCTCCTCTGACCATGTCCCATAACGTTTCCAGAAAAGCCCCTGAGTGGGACAGGCAGAAGCCCCTCTGGAGGCTGTTCTTTTGTTTATTTTTTTGGGGGGAAGCACACCCAGTTGTGCTCAGGGATCACACCTGGTGGATCTTGAGAGATCATACGGTATGTCAGAGATAGAACCCGGGTCAGGGGGCTGGAGAGATAGTACAGGAGTTAAGGTGTTTGCCTTGCTTGCACCTGACCTGGGTTCCCATATAGTTCACCAGCCCACATGTTCCCCTGAGCACTGCCAAGAGTAATTCCTGAGTGCAGAGCCAGGAGTAATTCCTGAGCATCACCAGGTTTGACCCTAAGACAAAACAAAACAACAGTAAAAAGAACCTGGGTCAGTGGCGTGCAAGTTACCTGAGCTGATGTACTACCTCTCTGACCCTGGGGCTGGTCTTATTACCCAAACCTTCTTCCTGGATCCTGAGATAGCTCAGCCCAGACAGAGGTCACCTAACGCTGAGTGTCTAGCTCACATCCAGACTCCCTGGCCCTGCCTCATCCCCTTGGGGATTCAGCTCTTCTCTCTTCCCCATCTTCCCACCCTCAGGCGACTAGATGCAGACTGGGGTCGGGCAGGACATCCCACATCCAGTATCCAGACCGAAGCCTTCCTTCTCCATGGCATCAGGCTGACCCCAGGCCCCTGGGGCTGTCTGAGTTGCTCCCAGTTCTAGGCTAGAGGTACTGGGAAGCTGGATTTGGCACAGTGAAAGTGGGGACTGAATGCTCCTTCTGGGCCTGACCCTAGGTGCCCTTCATGAGCCTCCCGGAACATGTCTTCTGGGTGCTATCCCTGTAGCTCGGATGCCACTGGCCAATCTCCCTGGGGAGCAAGTGGTTGATGGGGGCTAGCCTGAGGGACCTTGTTCAGGGAGACTGGTTTTTAAACTAGGACGTTCAAAAACAAAACAAAACCCAGAAAAACAGGGCAGGAGTGATAGTACAGCGGATAAGGTGCCTGCCTGGCACACAGTTGACCTGAGCTTGATCCCAGGCATCCCGTAATGTTCCCTGAGTTCTTCTAGGAGGGATCCCTGAGTGCAGAGCTAGGAATAAGCTCTGAGCACCACTGGTGTGGCAAAAAAAAAAAAACAAACATCATCGTCTATAAAACAGGGGCCTGGAAGATGGACCCTCAAAGGACCAAGTGAGCAGGGTTTGCTTGCAAGAGTTCCCTGGTTTGGAGCCTCAGCACCGCATGGTCACCCAAGCATCTCCAGGAAGACCCTCTGATATAAAAATTGGGAGTAACCCCTGGTCATTGCTGGATGTGGCCCCCAAACAAACAAACAACAAAAGAAAAAGAAAACTAGGGTTTCCAAAACGTATTGTTGAGTCCGTTTCAATATCGGCAACCCTGCAAGTTCCAATCTACCCAGCGCCCCCCACCTCCATTGGGTGCACGCAGAGGAAAGGGGCGGGGCTTCGCTCGGAGAAGCCAATGGGCAGAGAGGGTCGGCTCGTCCCTTTCCCTGGGCCCCGTCCCCTGTGTCCTTACCGCATCTCCCCCAGTGCCTGGAGCAGAGTCCGCTGACCTTGGAGCAGGGCATCAACCTTGGCAGAGTCCTGGAGGAGCACAGCGTCTTGCTCAGAGCTCTTGTTTAGAGCCTGCATTCCGCACGGCCACAACAGCCTTCCTGGTGGCAGAAGGCTCCCTGGCTCCCTGGCTTTTTTGGGACATTTCCTTTTTTTCTGCACGCAGGAGCGGGGTGGAGGAAAGGGGGAGCAAGTGGGGGGGGGGACTGCCGAATCTGAGAACCAGGTGTGCTGAGTGCAAGGCACCCTCCAGCCCAGGCCCGACTTTACTTTTTGTTGTTTTTTGAGTCACACCCAGCTGTGTTCAGGGGTTACTCCTGGCTCTGTACTCAGGGATCACTCCTGACAGGGCTCCTGACAGGGCTTGGGAGACCATATGGGGAGCTGGGGATTGAACCTGGGTCAGCTGGGTACAACGCAAGTGTCCTACCTGCTGGACTATAGTTCCAGCCCCAGCCCCATCTTTATTTATTTATTTAAGTTTTGGGGCCACACATAGCAATGCTATTACTCCTGGCTCTGCACTCAAGAGTTACACTCAGTTACTCCTGGCGGTGCTTGGAGGACTGTATGGGGTGCGGGGGATC